TCACAATAATAACCGTGGCAGCTTGAAACCACACATTTTCAGAAAAGTACCAAAAATGATTAAGTGTTTTAAAGGCTATACTTACAAGGGATTTAGAAGATAGAGTGCATAATGGAATACAGGAAAGCAGTTTTATAATTTTATTCAGAAAAATAGCATTAGTATATTGTCTTATTTCAGAAGTGTACCTAATAAATGTAAACTGCAAACAATTTTTCATTTGTATCTGATAATCTATAAACACACTAGTGGGAAAAAAAAATTCCTGGATCATACTGGAATTACTGTGTTATTTATTCCTCTTTATCACAACTTCTCTTGATCTGTAATAAAAGAGATTATCTGTGAATTTTTACCTGTGGTTATAAAGGCCAGATTAAAATATTCTGAAATCTGTCATAGTGAAAACTGAATTTGCATGATTTTATGTGATCAATTTTTGACTCAGTCAGTTTGTTTATCTAGAAAAAGAAAAGATGCACTCTTACTATTTTTACAATAGACATAAAATTATGAGATTCATCTTGCCTACGTCTAGTTGAGTAAATGAACCATGTAGCTCTCTTGATATCTGATAAAGAGAAAAATATATCTCCAAGGTCAGTTAATTTCATCCTTAACATAAACTGTTGGGAGCTCTCACTGCAGCAGCACAGAATTCAAGAAGAAGAATTTAATTTTCAAAAACTATGCATGTTCATCCACTCTGAACCCTTTGCAGAGTGGTTGCAGTTTCTCAAACTCTTGTAGGCCTACACATACTGCCTATGCATATATGCAATGGTCTAAACCACCAGTGGGATTTTTTGTACTTAGTTACCAATTTGAATTAACTTCACTCAAGCTGTTAATTTTCTTTAATACTCATAACATGATATACCCAGAGGAAGAGTTTAATTTAATTTTGATTTATTTTATTCCAATAGCAAAATAAAGAACTAGGATAGGTAAAGAGCAACTGAGATCTGTAGCAAAAACAGCCTTTTCATGGATAGGTCTTCATTTCCATCTTCATCAGAACTCTCTTGAGTGCTATTATCCCCTAATATCTGTAGCAGTCAGAATCCTTCTATTCACCTTGATTTTTATGAGCTTTTTCTGCTAGAGAGAAATACAAAACAAAAAGCAAATTAATTATATAATTACGCACCTGTATTTTCTTCAGTACAATACTTCCTCCTCTATTTTCTGTAGCTTTTTTTTCTGTTTAGCACTTTCTCTGGTTAGGATTTGGATTTTTGCTCATTTCCCTTTGATGTCCTTCATAGGATCCTTGGATAAATCAGTCTGCAAGGGACCTCCAGAGGTCTCTAATCCAATGTCAGGAATAAGATCCACTCAGGTTACTCAAGGCATTATCTAGTCTAGTCTTTAAAACCTCAAAGGAGTCAGACTTTACCCCCTCTCTGGGCAGCCTGTGCCACTCACTGACTGACTGTCCTTACATTAATTCTACACTTGTTTTCTTGTTAATAAATATATTGCTATACTACATATTGTAAGTGAATAATACAAAGAATAAAAGATGTTGTGTTTTCTCCCCAGGATTAGTTTCAAAGTGCAAAAAATGCGGAGAATTAGCTACCCATTTCCAGCACACGATATGTTCTGACAGAACTAACTGCTCTGGACTTGAACAATCAGTGGTAGAAATTAGGACTCTTCCATTTTAGAACAGTTTCAAGACTGTGTCTGACTTGACTGGCGGAGCAGGCTGGTGACCATCTCTAGTTCTCCATTCTAAGGGTACAAGTTTTCTAGAAGTACTTTACTATGAATACTCCCATTGAAAATCAGAATATGTGACAGCTTCTATTTGCTTTTCTGATTACTCCACTGGGTTTTATTGATTTGAAAGTTATGTTTCTTTATGAAGAGAATAAATGGATCTCCTCTGTATGGAGACAAGGTTGCACTTTCCATGGGAAACAGTTTAGGGGACAGAAGTATGGATAGTGGAGAGCAAGAGTCATGGCAAAAAGGACCTGGGAACTTGTAATGTACACAGAACATAAAAGGCTGCAGAGAAGCACAGGAAAGAAATAACCAGACCTTGGTGGTGTTGGAAAACAACTTATTGGGATCAAAGAGTACTTGTCAGTTTGCTTCAACTCAAAAATCCACTTAATTGGTTGAAACCAAACTTAAAAGGAAGGGCAGGCAAAGGGAAGGTGCTCATATCCATTGTGTCTGATCTAGTTGCTCCAAGTGTTCTCAGTCATAAATTCCCTGTTAAAAGTAATCTGGCTTTTTTAGCCTTTTGTCTTCTTTGGAAAGATGTCTATAAGGAAAAGGTATAGACAGGCGCATCTCAGTCCTTTGGCTGACTCTGTGTCCTGTCACAGAAAATGTTAGCAGAGAACATGTTTTTTTGCTAAAATTGGCTTGTTTAATTTGACTTGCTGACTCATTTTTCCAGCTGGTCTGTCATTCTACTCAATTCCAGATGAGGCAATAGGAAAAAGAAAACTCTTTTGAATATTCCACCCTCTTGCCAAACCCAGTAACAATTAAAAACTCCAATTTTCATTGCAGTTCTTTATCTCTGTTAATTATCCAAGGAACAGTAAATCAGATATATTGTCCTCTACTTGTTGTCAATAATTTAAATGCTAAATTCTTTATAGATTAGTTGCAGATTTAACATGCTGCTTCTTTTCCGTAAATTACGTACCATTTCGCAACTTGAATCCAATGCAGTGTTTCATTTTTACATTTGAGATCAAATGCTAGACAGTCCAGTCTAATTGACTCATGTGTTTTAAACACCACAAACAAACCCACATAACTCTATCTTAAATAAGTTAAGTAGTTCCTTTTAATCCAAGAGAGACATGAGGTCACTCAACTAGTAGCTTTTAGTGGAGTTTTTCTTATTTCACCATAATTTTTGAGAAGAATATAATCCGAATCAAGTGTTTAGTGGACACTAAGCTGGTAGCAGTGGTAAGTTCAAAAAAGAACAGGAATGTAACAGGCAGGGACCTTATGAGCAGAGAGTTACTGATAGAAAATAACATTATGATATTCAGCTTGGAAAAAACAGAAGGTAATTAAATAGAAACAGAAAGATCCATTAGTACAGTTATAGCTGACATTTTGTAAAAGAGGTCAAGAATAAACAGGGGAAGGCAAATGTAATTTGAATTTACAATGTGATACAGTATTAAAAAAAATGAATGAGACTCAGGCATACCAGATGACGTCATGTTCACACTATCACTACTGATATTTTAAAGGTAATAGAAGGCATTTTTCATCTGTTTCTATCCATATGAACTATGAGAAGTTTTACCATCACACATGTACAGTCATTCCCATAGCTGTCTGGGTAACAAGAACTCTGATTGGTTTGACTCATTACTGAGAAATGACTACATGGGATAGTCTTATTAGTTTTATAGAAAAACTTCAGTTTGTCTGTGTTTAAAAAAACCAAACACCTGATTCAGCATTCAGTGCAGCAGAGTAGTTGCTTTAATTCTGCTTTTAACTGCAGAAACAAAGGGCTTGTATGGATAAAGCAAAACAAAACATATTGTTAATTAAAAATGACATCTAGCACAAAACTTTGTTCGCCCTTCTTGCATATAGGGGTCAACACTAATTAAGTTTCACCAATTGCTAGCTGCTGACTGATGATTTGGAGCTATTCCTACTCCTCTTGGTTAATACATAAACTCTGATTACGTCACCCAATTTTTGTTTCTTATTTGAATAAATGTAGGTTTATTTAGTTATTGCACATGCTAAATAATGTGGTGAAAGATTGTATAATCACTTAAGACCTTAACAACAATCAGTAGTTTACAAAGAAGCTCTGCATCTTTATATTGTGAATATTATTTAAAGAAAATGTTACCTTATTGCTCACTTACAGCTTGCAAGTAAACTAATTGTACTATGATTTAATTTTGAACATAATAATCAAGTTCCATATAAATGAATTTATATTCAGATTTCATGTACTGATCTGTATATCGTAAAGTGAAGTGCTAAAGTTAAAAGTCCATAAAGAAAGAGGTGCCTGAAAAGGAAATGCAGTCTGGCCCTTGGACATTCCTTCAGAGGGACGTGATAACACTGAACAGCTTATTAAAACTGTTGGGAAAATATTTTTCCCACTTTTTACAGAAACACTAATATTTGAATCAAAGTATTCAGCTGGAAGCTGAAACATAGTATTTGTAGTTTTTCTGTTTGTCTGGAAGGATTTTTAATTTGTATCCAGCAACACTGATTTTTGCTTTTAATTCTCATTCAGATCAGACAATTTGCATGGAAAATAATTTCAGTTGAAAACCCTGTTTTCAGTCCAAAACTTGGATTGAATTTTGTGAATTCTCCTGAAACTGTAACTCCCCTCAGTTGCTGATATAGATTAGGGTTTCATTGGCTAAACAGAATAGAATTATGCTTATAAAACACATAGCTTTAATGAACATCATGATCTGAAAGTGAAATACCAGAAGTTTAATCCTTCCATGAAACTCTGTTGAACTAATTTAGTGAGAATTAGGTTTTTTTTAGTATCTGAAAATTTCATAACTTTTTTCCCTGAAATTGTTTTTTATCCTAAAAAATCCTGTTTTGCATTTCTTGGAGTTCTCCTGCAATGCGTATGTTCATTTTAATTCAGTGGTGAACATCTATTATTGATAGGAGACTGTGTCAACTAGTTTAACAAAAGCCAAAGAGGTATAATTACCACCCGGGGGTGGGGGGGGGGAGAAAATAAAAAAATAATTTTAAAAAAATGGATCATGGATGGTAACTACTTTAAGATTTTTAGAGTATAAAAGAAGTATGAAAGAACATTCTTCTTGAGTTCTACTTCCTGGATCAAAATAATTAATAGGAATGGTGATAAAAAATTGAGAGTTCACAATTTACTTTTTCTGTTCCAAGGTATGAAAATTACAAATATCTTTAACTTGAGAGTTACAGCTAATTAATGGCATATCATTAAGCTATATACATTGGTTTTTGAACTTGCATAGGTACGTGTGTTCACATTTTCTGTTGGTCAACATAATTATGACAAAGGACCCATACAGTGGATGGCCTGTGAAAATAAAGGTACTGCATTTTTCTTTGAAACTATTTGCTAGAGCTTTAAATAGACAATATCTTTATTATTATCTAAGAATTGCAGGGGTTATTTTCAGTCTGATTTTTAGCTTTGTTGTATTTTAAAATAAAAGTTCCAAAAAGTTTTTTAATGAAATAATGTTTATATGCATACACATATATATATATATAAAGAATAAGCTTGCATATTTATTATTATTACTTTATTTAAAACTTTATAAGAAAAATATTACAGTATTTTTTATAATAATAATTAAGTATTATGGTTCAGTTTTGAGAAATTTTCTTCTAATATCTATCTGTGAAAAAATGGAACTGATGACAGATAAGAAGTTAAGCAAAGTTGTTTTATATTATGGGGTCTGGACAAAGGGTTGACTGCTTGGATTTCTTTCCAATTTTCTCCAAAACTTACAAGGGACAAGATGACTTGCATAATTTTTCCGTTTTTTAATGAAAATATCAAAATTATTCTTACTGTGATTTCTGAGCTTCTAAAAACATCTTTTATATATATATATAAAATGATTTATTCATGTAGGGAAAAAAAAAATAAAAAACAAACAACTGAAAAGTTGAAAGTAAGGAATTAAAATGCTTTCTCCTAAAACTTCTACATGTAAAATGTGGTTAAAAACATTTGCAGTGTGAGAAAGAGGAGTCTCAGATACCTTACAATGTAATTATGGAACAAGAAATAAGAGACAAATACAGGAAAACAGAAAATAGAGAAAATATAAAACAATATTGTAATTTTTTTTAAATAAAGGAATTTCTAAAAATGTATTTCGCAAATCAGTGAGAAGCAAGAGATGAGAGGTGGGACAGATTTACAGAGTGTCTTGAAAGTTAAAACTAGAGGGACAGAGGATGAGGTATGATTCTCAGGCATGAGAATAACATAAAACAAAGATGAGAAGAGAGAGAGAGAGAGAGATGGAGAAGGAGAAAGGTAATTATATAGAAGAATCCATAGCCTGTCTGAATAACATACATGTTATAACCTCATGAATCGTGCAGTATGCTGGTAGGTTATACAGAGGATACTACAACAAAGAAGAGCAGATTGTATTGTCAGATAATTAAAGAAAATCAATGTTTGCTTTTTGAACAGACATTTTTTAACTAACATCTCCTAACTCCATTGTCTTAAAACAAATGAGGACCAGCTGGCTTAAAGTGGAACCACCTATGTCATCTTATTGAGGCAAAATGATCATACTCTTCTGTCCAAAATTCATGTGATTATTTGTTTTGTGCTTCCAAAGAAGCAAAGTTTTATTTAATTTTTTCCTTAATTAAAATTTGTAGCTTATTATCAAGTCACGCATTGCTCAAAGCAAACTGAATGACTAACTTCAGTACTCTTACCTCTCCAGTTCTCCCCTCTTCCTTCCAATTTGCCTGACAACTTACTTGGTCTGAAACTGAATCTCAGTGCCTGTCTTAAGTCTTATGGGTGCATATGGGCAATATTTTTTAATTCAAACAAATAAGTGGTAGAATCAATGCTGAATAAAGACATTTCTGATGTTTACTTAGATGAAATATCAATTAGATTTTTTCATCCTTTCCATGGTGTGCCTTATATTTTTATACTATGAACTTCACTGTTGTGGCAGATTGTACCTATACTTGCGTTCCTATATGCATTCAGCGTATAATTATATAATTAAGTTGCTGTCACAGCACATTAAACTGACCATTAAATATACTTGCACATCAGAGTAACTGGGACTTCAGGAGTACAAATTCATTACATTATCTCAGTTTTAAATAGACAAAAGAAACACATTATATACTCTCCCTACTTAAGAGTACCTAGCTTGACCTATATGGCATGATGACCCTTCGTATGTGGCCGTGTGTTGCAGTGGCACCTACCGAAAAGTATTCCATTCATGCTTAATAAATTCTATAAAAATTAAATCAGATATTACAAGTAAAATGAAATTCCTCAAGATTAAGAGACTTGCATTATATCATAGTCATATGGCATTATTTCTGTTCCAAATTTTAGGTTATTATTATGAAATTCCATCGATTGGAGCCATAAGAATAAACACCCAGGTAAGTGTATTGACCAAATCCAGATGCAGATACAAATAAGTGAAGTAATTCCTGTTCTCAAATATGTTGCATTTCAACACTGTTTGAATCAAATAAATTTTAAGATTTAAGAACAAATTAAAAAATAAGGCTTTCTTTACATACGAGGGATTATCCTGTTAAAATATCCTTCTTTTTTTTTTTTTTTCCTTTCTTTTTAGTAGTTGCAGTGAGCCAATTCACAATGTGATCCCTGCTTCCCTGGCCAGCTGGCCCACAGCAGCTTGCATGCACTAGCATCCTCTAAAGCAAGCTGACCATGTGCACACAACACAGCATTTAAAGTGACTTGTATCCTGCAGATCTCTGCACAAAGATTATGTTTTCAGTTCAGTTTTCCTCCTGGTCTTACAGGGTCCCTCTTTGATCCTGAGACACAGCAAAAAATTTTTTGTAAGGTTCTATAAAACCAGTAAGTTTTAATAACATGTGTAGACATTAAAAGTCTGCCTCCTCCCTTGTTTACAGTGTGATCCTAAGGGTTTGCATTATGCAGAGAAGGTCATGAATGTGTGTGTCCTGCTAGAATACCTGAACTCAGCTGGGCAGAAACAGTGACCTGGTACAATCCTGCTTATTGGAGACTTTCCTGGATTGATCCAACCAGTCTGGAAGAGACATGGCTTTTCTCCTTCAAAAAGGATGCAGGACCATTTTAGCAGACGTGCATGTAGATAATTAAGGAATTATTAACCCTGGAATTATATGACATGATTCAAACTGACAGAGTAGATGAACAGATATTATTTTCAGTAGTCTGAAAGTCCATGTATTGACATGTCCAGAAAAACAAAGAAATATCATAGCAGTTCATTGTCCTTCCAAGGCCAGGCATGACATTTTTTGGCAGAAAATAACAGTCCTTTTTTTGTCTTGGATAAGAGTCCTTTTATTCTGTTAAACTCTTCCAGATAGAGTCTGGCACAAAATATCCATAATAAGATCAGACAAATAGAAAAGGTTGAAGACTGAAACAAGTGTGATGACATCCACTCCCAATTCTGACATGTCATAAGATCACTAGCTTTAGCCATACTCCCAAACTGAAGGAAGGCATGGACTATGAGGTTTTAAAACTCTAATTTTTTTGTTTCAAGAGAAGTTATGCAAGTTGTTGCTGTAGAAGCTTAACGTACCCAGCTGTTACACCACTCACCCTCCATTGCCCACTCTGTCTTCTGAGTTGAAAGTTCTGTGATCTGCTTGTAATTTGATTATGTCATTAGCAATTAATTTTGGAACAAAAGTAGTTGTAATTCTCACTTGGTGGAAAGAGAGCAGTGGTTGTTGATGTGTAAGGTCCATGTGACTGAAACTGAAATACAGGAGTTGCCTTGGCAGTACTGCAAACTGAAGACTGAATTGTTGGGTAGCATAATTTTAAAGAAGTAATTAAATATTACTCCTGTATTAGTGGTGAATATTGACTTTTTTTCCCCAATCTTTTAAGTGTGTTTATTTCATTATTGTTTATTTTTTATGCTGTTTCTGGACTTTGATCTAATAACTGCCTTCTAATGAATTTATTACACTTTTCGGCAGGAATATCTGGATGTTTTGGGAAGACCAATGGTTTTAGCTGGAGAGAAAGCCAAACAAGTCCAATGGACAAATGTCTATCTGGATGCTCTGGTATGGTTTGTATTTATTTCTAGTAAAGTAGGAATCTTAGCAAATAAGTAACTATAGGAGTCCATTTTCCACAGTCCTGAGGACGCAATTTCCTACAGTTCCAAACATGATAGTGTTGCACTTCCAGCACCTTTACACTTCAATAGAGCAATTTCCTGAACAGGTATTTCTAAGTGCTGATCATTACTTGCACCTAGTGTCCTCCTAAGTGTCCTGAACAGAGACAGAGAAAAGAGTAACAGAGAAAAGAGTAACAGAGAAAAGCAATTTATCCTACACACAGAACTTTAAGTGTAGGTCATTACTGTTCTCAAACTAGCAAAAGAAAAAAAGAAGCAAATAGTACTCCCGTGTTGTACCTGTGCTGCATTAGAGGTCATCTGTTATATTACTGGTGAGGAGTCCTTTTTTCTTTTTTCCTTCCCCCCCGCCCCCCCAAAAAATATTCCAGGCAGAATGAAACCTGTCAGCTGTCAGTGTTCCCGGGTATTTGTGCAGATTTTGAACTTGAATCTTTAAACTATCATGGTTTTTGTAATTATTTGCTTGATCAAGGTAATGATTTCTTTAATTGGACAGTGTATATAATGGAGTAATAAACAAAAAAATATATGAAATGCTTTCCTTACTGCTGAATTTATCATTTTGGTCTTGTAAACAAACATATTCAGGAAACTACGAAATACAAAGTATTATTAGCAACAATCCAATCTGTTGCTCTAGATAAGCTTCTTCTGAGTAACTCTAACTAGGGAAAAGTTATGAAAAATGCTCATCTGGAATCATGTATTTATCCAAGTTCACATGGTCATCTAATGTCATGTCAAAATCCACATTTCCCACCAGTCAGCATTTTTATCAACTCATGGAATAGTACGTGACACAGAGGAACTAGTTTTTCTTTGTAATTTCAATGGCCAGAAGTTCATTAACCATATTTCTTGGTTACTGTTAAGGTACTTACTGGAAACATAAAGGATGTTGTGACGAAAGTTCATATGTTCTGTACATATCCTGTTGTAAAGCCAAAGCTAAATTTGTAACTGGGGATAGAAAGAGATCTGTTTAATTAAGTAAAATAAGTGACACCTGCAGACTTCTGTTGTGTTGCTTTATATTTTCAGTGGGTTCATTGAGCCTTTCCTTCAAGCTACTCTGTATTCATGTATTATATATGTGGTTTTGTGTATATATAATTTTATATATATTTGTGTGTGTGCATACATACATATTTATAAAAAAATAGGTCATGTTCTTTTTATTAATATATTTATTAAATGAAGAGGAACCCAAACTAAACTGTTGACATAAAAGCTGAAATCTGTGGACTTTCCCATCACAGATGAGAGCATGAAGGCACAGGTGTATCTGATCCACTCTGGAGCCTTTTCCTGATTCTTGTTTTTAGCAGAGTTTGGGACTAACTTGTCACACTGGTTCTTTATCTTAAATTTCCTAAAGCAATTCTCTCCTGTTGGGCTTGCCTTACTCCTACTTGTGCCTCCCTGGACTTTGTCTTATCCTTTTTCTCTTACTGTCCAGCAGCTGTTTTGGTGCTAAGGCTAAAATAATGCAATTGTATTATATGAGGCCACATTTGAATTGAGCTTAAGTTCAGGTTATGAAATCCTAAAGAGGTACTTTCATTTGAGGCTGTCTTTCAAGACTGTCTGATAATTTGATGTATTTGTGGCAATTCACACCTCTCTTCTTGCCCTGTTCCTTCAGGTTTTGTTACAGTGTTGCTCTGGCCTCGCTTTCTGCAAGATAATCCCAGAATTTTCAGATACTTTTAGATTTACCAGTTAGTCATAATTATTCACAATTATTGTCCTCTCTAACTGTACATTTTTTCTTTGAGGGAGACATTGTCAACCCACATACATAGCCCCCTGTTTTGTCGTGTGTCTCTTCAATGCTCCTTCTCCTCTCTCTTTTCTTCTGATAATTTCCAGTTCTTGCTTCTCTTATTCTCCTAAAAAGCCCCCTTCTCTTCACCTTGCTTGTTGTAACATTGCTAACTCTGATCTTGTCAACTTTCATTTGATACACAAACTTAAGGTCAAGAAGAATATTTTAAAATTTCAAAAGGTGCTACTAGACTGGGAAATGTTAACTGACTTCATCAGAATGGATTAATAAATTATTTTAGCTTAGCTTTTTTCTAAGGAAACAAAGGGCAAAAATAAGTAAAATACGTGGAAGGAATAACCACCAGTGAGGGGAAAAAAAAAAAAAAAAAGAAATAAAACCCAAACATTAGCATAAAAAAAAGGTAGAAATCTCCCTGTGGACAATTTAGAATGGAAGACAAAACTTTTCTGGCTATCAAAACATATGTTTTTCTGTTTTCATCCTATTTTAAGTATGAATTGTGACTGTTAATAAAGGATAAAGAAATTTCTTTTATCTTCCCAAATAAGTGCAAATTCCTTACCTCAATGCCAGAAGACACTATGTGACTTTGCAGAACTAATGGACATTATTGCAAGCCATTGGAAAGCAGTGACAATGTGAAAAGTTGTAGTATTACCTGTTAGATTTTTCTGTTTATTTTGCCTGTATGTATTCGTTGCCTACCTATTTACTGTCTTGAAATTTAGTTTGGCTTTCTCCTGTTTTTCTTTTTTTTTTTTTTTTTTTTAAAAAAAAATTATTTGTCCCTACTATCCTGAGTTTTTAGTATAGTGGGAACTGCAGCTGTAAACATGTTTTCATAAATTTTAGTTTTCATTAAATTATTATATCCTAAGTTGTTGCATACCATCTATTTTTAGAAAGCAATTTATTATGATCACTAACACATGGACACAAAAAAAAAGTAATTTCAACTTTCTATGCATAAAATCAATGAAGTAGTATTATTTTCTTTTTTTTACAATCTAAAAGTCATTAATCTAGTGTTTGGCTATAGTAATCCCTGCATTGTTCTAATATATTATAATTCAATATTTTTTATTTAACTAAAAAAGACTTTTTCTCCCCACTGTATGTGATTATTTCCTAGGAGCTGGGCCTTGTGATTACAGGAACTCTGCCTGTCTTCAATCTAACAAGGGAACAAAATGGAAAAATAGTAAGCTGTTACTTAAAGAAAAAAAAAAAATCATTTATTTGAATTAAATTTAATATTAAACTCCTTGAAAAATGTGTATTTCCATGGAGCTTCCTACAGTATAATTGTCTTGTACACCAGAAACAAAGGGGTCATTTCTAGTTTTCTGATAACCTTCTGGGAACAAGAAAATGCAGATCACCCTTTTGTAGTTCTCTGTTTCAGGGTATGACGTTCCTTGATCTGTCTCTGTGGCCTGATGTCAGTGGGAATGCGTTAAGTACTCAATAGATGGAAAGCAGATGATAATATTATTTAGGCCTTGCCAAGAAAGGAAGCTCTGATAAATTTATAACAAATCTGTGAAGCTGTGACATTCCAGAGTAAAAGACAATGATGTAGAGAGTTTAAATTAATTGGTTGTAATGATAATAGAAAATAGCATTGTGTACTTAAATTAAAATCTAAATATTAAATGAATACAATTGCCCATCTCTGTTACAGTCTGATAAGAAATCAATATGTGTCCTTTTTGCAAGATCAAAATGTTGCTTTTTTTCAAAATCAGGTCTAGAATATGCTTTACAGTGTATGATAAAATACTGTACATTTGGTGTGATACTCATGTTCATTCAAGTAAAAATATACAGAAGTTTAGCCAAGATATTCTTTGATTCAGTTTTTCAGATATTAAATAGACTCAGAATAAGTAAATATGGATTTGCTCACTACCATTTATTTTATTTACTTTTGGAATAGCTCTCTTAGTTTCCCTTTAAAAACAAAACAAACAAAAAATGTTTCATTATCTTATCTACACGATAATGCCTAGAATTCACTGAGTCTGGTTGAAAAGTGAGAGACTACTGATTATCAGGAGTCTTCCTCAGAAGTAAAACAGCCATTACCTAGTAGAGAGAACAAGAGAACTTGAATCTTCTTGACTTGTATATCTACCTGAATTTTACATTACAGATTGCAAGATACATTTTCCAAGATGTATTTTAAATTTATTTAATATGGAGAAGGGATTTAGGTGACACTATGTAAATGACTGTCCCCCTGTTGTAGGAAAGTAAAACATAAGTGAAGTAAATTTAGTGCCTGAGTCCCTGATTTCAAATGCAAGTGATTGTTACAGTCACCATGTTTTTTGGTTTTCTTGTTGATTTGTTTGGGGTTTTTTTCATTCATCTTTATACAATAGCCAAAAGATTTTAATTGTTTTGGGGTCTCATCTATTAATTGCCCAACCTAAGCATGCAATAGTAGCTCTATATTGGTGCTAGTAATTTAGTACCTACATCATTGGCAATATTAATGTATCACTTTTGCTTTCACCTTTTTTGTTCCTGCGCTTATTGTTTATTCATCAAGGAAAGCATCCATATTCATCTTCATAACCAGTTTTTATATTCTATCCTAAATTCTGAATGTATTGAATGTTATTTTGAATCAGTTTATTATTTAAAATATTTAGAATAGAAACATATGTAAATAGGCAACTTTTCAAGTAGTATGTCAAACAAGAGAAAAAGGCAAAATCAAAATTCACTGACTGTTGCAGTTATTCTGCATTGTGAATATGTCAAACATATTCTAACATTTTGGAATCTTACCAGAATCAGCTGATTCTTGGAGTAATGGGGGTTGATGTCTCTTTGGAGGACATTAAGAAACTGACACCCAGATTTACGGTAAGTTGCTTGAGTGGGTGGTTTCTCTTTATGTATGATTTATGTATGATTTCTTTGCATGCTCTTTCATAAGTCATGTAGCAATGACTGGATGTGAGTCAAAATACCAGCAGGCTTCTTTTCATATATTCTTTTCCATTGTTGTAGATTCTCTGATGGTTTTCTCTCCAGCCATATATGTGCTTCTGTGTGAATTGTCCATCAGAATGAATCTGTAAAAGCCAACTTTTACATTGAGGGATATATTCCAAGTAATTATCTTCCTGTAGCTTAAGGCACTGCTGTTTAGTTTAGTGTTTTGTTCTTATCACAGTGTAGAATACACAATCATATCAGCTAATAATAATAATTAGCATTTATATAGGACAGTTCTTTATAGAAAAGTTATTTAATATACATGTCTGTCTGTATCCTACTCAGTACGACTGATTTATATATTTAGACATCTAGCTGGGCAATTTCTAAAAAAATAACTAGTACTGTGGAAAACAACAGCTGAGGAAGCAAAGGAACATCACGAATTTGACTGAAGGCAAATGCAAAGTCCTGAATCTAGAATGGAATAATCCCATGCTACAGTACAGGCTGGGACAGAACACCTCAAAAGGCAGGAAAGGGCCTGGAGGTCATGGTGGAGGGCAAGCTGAACAGAAGTTAACAGAGTGCCCTTGCAGTAATGAAGGCATGCTGTGCAATGAACACTGGCAGCAGGAGTACTTTGTCCAAGTTTTATCTCCTCAGTACAAGAAATACACTGAGATACTGGTCAGAGTCCAGTGCAGTGCCACTAAGTTGGCCAAGAGGCTGGCGTATATGGCATGTGAGGAGAAGCTGAGAGATGGGTTGGTTCAGACTGAAGAAGAAACCTAATGGATTACCTAATGAGAATTATAGAGAAGATTGACCTAAGTGTTTCTTGAAGGTTTATGGCAAAAGATATGAGGTAATTCACATATATGTGACAATGGCAATTCCAACTGGAAATAAGGGGAAAAAAAATCATTGTGATGGTGGTTAAACACTGGAGTAGGTTGCCAAGAAGTTGTGGAATTGGCATTGGAGGTGTTCAAATATACTTTGAAACCTAGTCCGACTTTGAAATTGGAATTATTTTGAAGTTAGCTCTGCTATCAGTGAAGGGTTGTACCAAGTGACTTCCAGTGATCCCATCAGCGTATTCTCCAAGTTTATGGTTATAAAAAAGTACACATTAAGAAATTATCTTCTATATGTTAATATTTCACATATTTCATTGTGCCTGAGGCAATGTATTTTCCTTAATGTGACCATTGCTTGAAAACTATTAATTAGTCTTTCTTTATTACTTAAAACTTTATAATGCTAAACATTATTTCTTTCAGCTTTGTCCAAATGGATACTATTTTGCAATTGATCCTAATGGGTATGTGCTACTTCATCCAAATCTCCAACCAAAGGTATGAATAACATTCTAATTTCTCTATAATAGGGGGACATCATCAGAAATAATGGAAACATCTAAGATCTGCTGAAATTGAAAAAGAGAAGGCTCCGGGGAGATCTTATAGCAGCCTTCCAATACCTGAAGGGGGCCTACAAGAAAGCTGGGGAAGGACTTTTCATAAGGGCAACTAATGACAAGACAAGGGGAAACGGGTTTAAACTGAAAGAGGGGAGGTTTAGATTAGATATTAGGAAAAAGTTCTTCAGTGTAAGGGTGGTCAGACACTGGAACAGGTTGCCCAAGGAAGTTGTTGATGCCCCCTCCCTGGAAGTGTTTAAGACCAGGCTGGATGAGGCTTTGAGCAACCTGATCTAGTGGAAGGTGTCCCTGCTGATGGCAGGGGGATTGGAACTAGATGATCTTTAAGGTCCCTTCCAATCCAAACCATTCTATGATTCTATGATTCTATGAAATTACCAAAGAACCAGAAAGCAGCAGTAAAGACTTTTCAGTTCTGGGGGTGTCAGGAAAATCCATGGTGCATGTCTGGATTAATCTGCTTTAGTTAGCACAAAGACAAACGTTGCCTTGTATTGAATTTGGTTATCAATAAAATAAAAAGTATGTATGTTTTAGGCATACATTTTTGTATGTGAAATTAGTGTTTCAGTATACTTATTAATATAAAAACAACTAGTGGTACTTGTAATATCATTGTGAAGAACTTGTACTGTGTTATAAGAAGTTCTCGAAGCAAACTCTCAGGTGTTTACTAGTGCATATGTTTATTTTGTGATGCTTTCTCATTTCAGAAATTGAAACTTCCATACTTTCAAAACAAGAGAAATCAGGGGCAAACACAATATATATTTATCGCATTTTCATATTTGCTTATTTGCTTATTTTCTGTTTACCAGAGCTGAAAGCCGAGCTGCAGAGTTGGGATGGTTCTGGCTGGGCACTCTTTAAAAATTTCCCAGAATGCTAGATTTTTTAGTGATTAGGATGCAACTTTCCTCAATTTCAGGAAAATTTAAACCCAAAATTTGAGTTTGGCTTTATATCCATTAACTGTAGTCCTGGCTCTGTGGGGACTCCTACATTATATGTATGCTCTTAAATAAGTTACCTCCCTGGCTTTGATGAGACATTTCAACATGAATGGATGATTTTTTTTCTGAAATCAGAACTTATATGTCTGTTTTAGGGAAGGGTTTCTCCATGTCAAACTAACTTCTGTTTAATGGAATATTTGAAAAAGTTTGTATTTTAATTACATTAGAAAGATATTTTCAGCAAATTTTGTTTCATGAGTTCATAGTGCACAAATGCAGCATTATATAAAAGACTAAATTTAAAATTAACTAACTAAAAATAAAAAAAAAATCATTACAGATTGAGAGGAATATATGGATTATTTACAGATAAAAAGTGAGAAATAATAAAGAATCACTATAAGTATTGAAGATCAAACAATATATCCATGTAGTTCAGTAGTCAATATTAAAATTTCTTATTAAGATGATTGGAGCAATATATGTCCAAGATAAATGCAAGCTGTAAACAGACAGACAAATAAAGCTAGTAAGGCACCCTAATCCTAAGTTATTTTTTTGCACTTAGTATACTAAAGAAAATTCTTAACTAATGGAAGCCTGTATTTGGTGCCTTTAGGCATGGAAATACTGGGGCTTTTTGTAAATTGGATGCATATCCATCACTTTATTCCTCCCAGACATGTTCCTGTGGCAGAATAGCAGCAAGTCCTTGACCTCTTGGCTGTGCAACTATCCTCCCTTGTTTCTTCACCAGAAAGTCCTATCATAGTTACTAGAGGGATAGCAGATTCCCTTTTCAGTGCTTCACCATCTTTAACTGTCAAAGGTAGAGAAAAATTAAGAATTTGTCTACATATTTTAGTGATTCATTTAATTCTTAAGCTAAGGGAATTGTGAATTAATTTCCTGGTGAAGTAATGAATATGTTTGAAATCCTTTGCAAAGTGTATAACAAAAGGAAAAAGAAAAAAAAGATGCTTCTGAAGAAAAGAAAGTATAACTTCATCTAAACTTTTGATTGACTATCCCTTTTGATTTATTTTAAAAGAATCCTTTTAAACAGAAAAGAAAAAAAAAAGAAAAAATGTTTTTATATGGTCTTCATAATTCAGATGGAATTCCATTTCTCAATATATGCATTAGGTTTTTATGTGTTTAAAAATGAAAATTTGAATTTATGATTTTGCTTAGGGAATTATTCTGAGATAAATATATGCATTATTACTGACTGAATCTTTTCTTCATTAGAGATTATTAGGAACTGAGATGATGACAAGTGGTCTATTTACCTTTTCCTTATATGCAAATGCAACAAGTAATATAAAATGTTAACAGAAGGAATATAAAATGAAGCTATGTAGTATTCTCATTGTAGGCACAATCTTGTGAGGAATTGATGGATATAGATTCAGTTTGTCTCAATTTGCTATTATACTGCAGTATAAACTTGTAACACTGGAGAATAAAGAACCTTTGTTAAAGGGTGTAAAAACTCAGCTCATCCCAACTAAATCTAGGCAGCTTTAGATGGATTATTAGGAAACTAACTGTCATGGTTTCTCTGTGTGGTTTTCTACTTAAAAGGATATGGAAGTCCAGAGTTGTTTTCACATACTGCTCAAATGTTTGATTTAGAGTATATTCAAAAAAGGATATTTTATAAGTGATATGTTTTATGTTGTAGAATAATGTCTAAATGTAATATGAAGTGTATGCATTATTATTATTGTTATTGTTGTTGTTAACAGTTACACAGATAGACTTTTTCACTCCCAGTTTGTTAGGGGTGGTGCATGCTATTCAGACTGATACAAGAACTACGTTTTAAAACTAAGGTACACTACAAAGACAGATGTATTTAGAACTCATGGATTTTCTATAACCTGTCATATTAATTTTAGTTCAACCTCCTGATAGCCGTTAACTTATTAACAAACAACATCTTAACCCTCTTTGCCAGCAATTTTTCAATAGATGTAAACTAAAACATAACTACATCTTTACCTTTGAAAAGGTGAGGGTGTATTAAACTTCCAATTATCCCTTCTTCTGAATGTCTTCTGCTTTCCTTCTGAAAATCTGTTACCTCAAATCAAAACTGGTTCAACATAATTAATATTTAAATAAATTGTCTTGCAATATCATCTCACAAAAAAAGCTTCCAGAAATTCAGAACTTGTAAAGTCATTGCACAACTGCGAAAATGTAAAAGGCAGGTTCAAAATTGGATTAAAAGGATTAAAAATTGTAAGAACTTTCCCATCTTTTTCTTATGGCACACAAATACTATGTCAAAGCATAACACAGGAAAACTTATTTTTGAACTTTCAGTTTAATATAGTTTTAAACTGCTTAAAAGACTTTTTTTTTTCAAATTTGTGTACTTAGTTATATTACATTTTTAAACAAATGCTTATTTTTATGGTTTTCTTCCAATTTTCTGTGTGTGTCTGTGTGTATGTGTATGTATTTTACCCACTGTCCTGGGAGAGAACGGGGGGGGATACCCCACCAAATAAACATAGTCACTGAAGTGAGTGCATTAAGCATGTGTTAACAAGTTTAGTCTTACTTAGATAAGGTTTGAAAGCAGTAAATAATTCAATTTATGAGTATGTTGTGAAGATTAGCATTCTTTTCTTCATTTTCATTATGTTTCTGATCAAAATCAATTTAACGGTAGTTCTAAAACTCTAGGTACCTTCAGTAGGGTCCAGTATTTTGTCTTATGGTTTACAGTTTTGAAAGAAATATAAGAGGAGATGGTTTTAAGAGCAGATATAACAGTAAACAAAAAGTGAGACTCTTCTCTATTCTCTATTTCAAGTCTGTCAGAGTATGTGGGAGGAAGAGCTCTCTGTCAGCTTAAGTCACATCACTTAACATATATCTGTTTTTATTTCCTTAGTCAAAAGCTGTGTGTAATTCTGACAGCTCAGAACTCTTGATCGGAATGAAGGCTCGTTTCTGCTTCCAGTAAATGTGCACTGGAGAGTATAGATGTTGAGGGAAGAATTCCATTCTATAAGTAGGCTCTTTGCTAATAGTGTAAAAATACAAATTACTGCTTTTTTGTTGCTTCAGCAAATTGGTGTGGGCATACCAAAAGTTAAATTGAGAAAAAGGAGACCCAATGTACAGGTAACTTTGGATGGAGGTGATTAGTGCATTAGAATGCCTAGACCTGGAAATACAATTAGAAAGCTTCTGCTCTGCTTACTAGGAAAAATCTAACTAGAGAACTGTTTACATTGACAAACAGCTTCCAAAGCATGAAGCTTGCATCCTTCCTTGTTTAAATAATAGAAAACATGTTATTGGCTGTAGTGAAGGGCGTTCCATTAAATTATGGTGCTTTACTAATAGGTGTTAATTAGAGCCGTCCTGTAAAAAATATTCTTCAGATTTTGAAATGAATTTGAAGACTGGGGAAAAAAGAGAGACTACTTGTGCTGGCTTCACTTGCATAAACCCAGAGTCAAGAGCAGATCATTCGTACAGCTTTGTTGCTGAGTTTTATTGTACACTGTATGCTGTATAACAGCACAGAATTCGACTGAACTGTTCTTTTTTTTTCCTGGGGAAGTCAGAGTAGGGCATATGTTTTAGCTGCTATTTACACCAGATTTTTCAATTTGGCAAACATAACTCCAGAGGATTAGCTACCATTATGTGAACAATGAAAAGGAAATTAGTAATTTATGTAACGCAGTCCTTGAGCAGAAAACACTTAATGAAAACTTTAAAATCTTTAAAGAAATATATTAACTGTGTGACTAGTAAAATAACAAAATTGGGTGCAACTAGTAAAATAACAAAATTGTTAATTTCTTAGACATATGGGAATATGTAATGCAAAACCAGTGACTTGCATAACAGTACCAGTAAAACATGGTGTAAAATCCTGACCTAATTCAATTCAGTGATTTCACTGAGCCTTGAGTAGCTGTGTTTATGCCACATCTAGAAGACCACCTCTGGGCTAGATTTTTTTGTTTATGCACTGGAGGAAGCAGCACTGGAACATAAAAAAACCCCTCAATTTTTCTGAGCACTTTTTTCTCCCCTCAGCATGCTGTGGTACAATTTGGCTGTTGCTGGTTTTGCCTGGATGTGCTGGCTGCCCAGGGAGGTGTGGCTCTGGGCTTCCACCAACTCAAGATGCTCAGGTCTCCCACTGGGGCCCAGGGTTTTGCTACCTTCTTACCATAATTTATTTAAAAAGCCTAGAAGCCTGTATCTTCATTAGTAGTGCAGGTATGAGTAGGAATTAGGCTCCTGAAATTCACTCCAAAGAAGACTTCCATAGAATTTGTGAGAATACTGACCTCCCAAGACACACAACAATTACATTTCAATGACCCTTTTTTTTTTTTTTACATTGCTGCACCAGTTCTTTCTTTCTTTGTTTCCTTCTTGATTTGTCATTTAAGTAATAGATCTTTGCCTTTATTTGTCATGCTGAAAATGGATTGCATTCCTTTTATTTGCATGCTTTGTTGCTAGTGATTTACTTCTGTTTTGTTTTGTTAAGTTATGCTGGTAAATGTGGTGGTGGTGTGCTTATTCTAGTCATGTCACGTGCATGACTGGTTAAAGAGAAGAGCAAACTGAACAGTAAGTTTGTTTCTTCATGGCTTGGAATAAACCCCACTAAATGGCAACCTTGGAATAAAAAATTCTGGAGCCCAAATACTGCTAAAAACATTCTTGGGGGAAAAAGACATAGTGGGGAAAATAGTCTTCCATTTAAAATACGGGGCTAGGAATTTTCTGTTCTAATTTACATGGACTTCTTTGTGCGTCAGGCACAATACATAATGTATCTATGCTTAGTTTCTTAAGCAATTAAAAGTCATTAATAAATACCTTATAAAGAATGTGTGATGATATAATGTAAGTCTTTAAAAGAACAAGAGCAAACAGTTAATGCATACTTGAATTTTGACAGACAGTTAAAGTTGACTATTTTGTCTTTGGGACTCCTTAACTATGGCTAGCCCAGGTTATCATTTGAAATAGATATTGACCTTGATTTGATGTGATGGCTTTTGTTTCCCTTTTTTTAACCATTTCTTTTTTTCTCTGTTCCTTTGTGTATTGGAATGGAATTTGAACTTCACAAATGCCTCCTCTGCCATGCCAATGCCTTCATGCATGCTCTTTGGGTTTGACCATGCTATTCATTATCCATTGCATGTAAGAAAATGTATTTTTAAATTTATTTTTACTTTTTAGCATTTACTATTTATTTTGAGAGTGTGGATTTGTTAGGGAGAAAAAAAGCAAGTGCATAACAATAATTAATTTTTTTTAATTAGTAGAGAACAAATGTTAGTGCTATTATACTAAAGTTAGTAGTTTTACCTATCCTATATAAATAGGAGCATTAAAATGTATTTGAAGTTATCAGTAGACTTTTAAAAGAAATATCCGGAATCTTTGCCTGAAATCTTTTTAGTGCATATTCTTTTTATGGGAATAAGTTTATTGTCTTTTCTCTTAGCAGACAGTAAGTCTTACTTGCTAAGAAAAGGAGTGATTTCATATACCCAGTAACATGGACATTTGTTCCTCAAGAATATGAAGGAATAGTCTTTCATCTTCTAACACCCTTCTATACTAGTTTTGAAAATAAGGACTACTGTTAAGCTCTTAATACTCCAGACTATTATATGAAGGCAAAAAAAAAAAAAACTGGACTTTTAAAATCTTCTATTGTAAATTAGATTTAAATGGTATAAATAATATATCGCAATACTCTTTTTTCTAAAGATCCTTTGTTAGGTGGGTTAATTAAATAACTACTTAATGATGAGGATTGAGTATTTTTACATCACACATAATATAGTCAATGGAGCTTAGCCAAAATTACTCAAAAAAAAAAAAAAAAAAAAAAAAAAAAAAAAAAAAAAAAAAAAAAAGGAGGTTGGATTCCTAACAGCTTGTACAGAAGATGGCTCTGTCCAAGTAAATGCTGACTGCAACTGAGAAAGGAGCAGAGACTGGAGGGTGGTCTGAGCTAGTTCAGTAGAGCTACAATGATCTTCCCATACTCCTATGGGACCAGGGCTACTATAGATGCAGACCACCAAAATTCTCTCTGCTTCACAATCAAGGGTTGATGTCAATGTACATTCCTTAGGTGTTGAAGCTGCTGGGTCACAGTATTTCTGTTCTACAGGTTTCCATCTCTTAAACTGAGATAACAGTACTGATGTCAAGAGAAATGCATTCAAAACTTCAAGGTGCTCAGGGAAGTCCTGTAATGCTGAAAATAAATGTGATTTTTATTTTCTTATAATAAAGAAATCCTTTATTATAGTTGCTGCCTCTTTGAATCTTGAGCTGCAGTCCATTCCCCCATCGTAACAGCAAGTCTGAGGTCTGCTTTTGGCAAAATTGCAAAACAGTACAATTATCCCATCTTACCAGTGAGCTGGAAAACTCTCCCAAATTTCCCTCTCCCTTCTCAGAGTCAGGACACCTAATGAGAGGTTCGTATCTGATTCTTCTTCTGATGCGTCTTCTCCCACCCTTACAGTCTGTGACATACCAGCAGCTTCCCAGCATGAGCCCCAAACATGAAAGACTGTGGGTGGACACTAGCCATTAGTGTTAATTTTATTTTCACTTATCCAGTTAAGCTCTCTATCAAATAAAATAAAATAAATGATAAAGAACCACTAGTAATTCATCATGCTGTAAGAGATTAAAATAGATGGGTAAGTAAACCCAGTTAGGTAACTTAGAAATGAAGGGATTAGAATGATTTGTAACATTACAGTACTCTGTCTTTATTATTTGAATATACAATATCTTCTGCTTCAGAATCCTAAATCCCAGGAGCCTGTTACGCTGGATTTTCTAGATGCTGAATTGGAAAATGATATTAAAGTTGAGGTGAGATTACCTCGTTTCTTAGTACTTCTGCTGCTTGTATTTCACTCTATAATAACTGAAAAGCAATAAATGTTCTAGATTTTGGATGACAATCTATTTCACAATAAATTTGAATTTTAACTTTGTCAAGATTATGACTTTATAGACAGATTAAGTTAAAATGAAACAAATTGAGAACTATTATTATTCATAGGCAAGGACAATGCATTATATTCCTCTCATTTTGAAATACACCGTGATTGCTATTTAAATAATTCTTTGTCATTAAGTGGCAATTCCTGGAGAGGGGGCTTGTAAGTTTTTCAGAACAGTACAGTTTTTAACAGAATATTAATATATTGCCTGAAATATTTTAAAAGTACTTCCCTATCTCTTACTAATGCAAGCTTATTGATGTGGTGAGAGAGAGAACTGATAAATAGTTAAGTGATGATAACAAGTTAATTCCTCTGTATATTTTTCAGTTGATAATTTTGTAATACCTTCAGAAAACAATTTTTTATAAAATAATTTGATATTTTTGTGAAATAAAATGGAGGGGTTTAAAACATTTTACTTTTTTTAACCTATTTTTTGACTTTATTTGAAATTGTTCTTTAATAATGACACTATTGGCATATGTTAAATTCTGCCTTAAGTTTATTTGAAATTCCTGCTTCAGAGAGGAATTACTCTCAGACTTGTATAAACAATGTTTTTGTGAATCACTGCTGCTTCCAGAATCACATGGATGTGCTGGGAAGCAGAAAATATGCTAGACAAAACTCCTCTTCATCCGCATAGAATACCTAGTCTCTCTAGTGCCCAGCATCAAGGGGTTTTATGGGATGGTCATGTTGTACAAAGTATACCAGAGTTGTTGCTTCATAACTCTACTGAGTCAGTATATATTTGGATAAAGCAACTTCTAATTTGAAAAGTCTGAAAGTTGTTAACTTAACCTTTTTTTTTTTTTTTTAAGAGCTATGACTTCCATATGCATTACCATTTTACCATTTTCTGTGGTTTTATGAAATACTGTATTTTATAAATATTTTATATTATATATTTTATATGAAATAGTGTATATATATATATGTTATACATGCAACACCTTATTTTTTTTTTTTTTCCCTTCCTTCCTTCCTTGCCAATAGATTCGGAAAAAAATGATAGATGGAGAAAGTGGAGAAAAAACATTTGAAACACTGGTCAAGTCCCAAGATGAGGTAAGATAGGAACAGAGGCAATTACATTTACAGGAACAAACAAAACCAGAAAAATACTGTGAAATGGTAAAATTATTTTGTAATGTCAGTTTGTATCATTTTTTCCTCTAGATTTGCTAGTTTGACTGGCTTATAGTAAAAGAAATTATGTACTTATGAAAAGAAGAATTGTTTTGTTTCTCGGTTTCTTTGGCGCATCATTAATCAGGCAGCTGTTGATGAGGACTTACACTTTGTTCACCAGGAAATGGGCGCAGCCTACTTCTGTGTTTGAATCTCAAAACAAAGTAGTTAATTTGCTTGCCGAGATGTATGACGATGGGTTTTGTAGTTTATATTGTGGGTGAATGGGAAGAAAATAGTCAGAAAAAATATAATATTTATATGCCATAAATGAAGATTATTTGGGATAAGCAAATTCATCTTACAGCTCTATTACATACTTCTGCTTTCTGAACAACTTCTTGAGTTCGTTATTTTCTTGTCCAAAGTGCTCATTCCTGATAAAGATTGTTATTGTTTACTAGCAATTTTATATGGATCCTTACATGTATGCTCTACTTCCTGGGAACCTTAATGAGAAGAAATCATGACTGGTGTGCCAAAGGAGCAGTTCTTTCCAGATTATGCCCCACAGTTACAGTTCTACAACAGCTTTTTGAAATTGTTTTACTTTGAGTATAAAACAGCCTGAAGATAGCTAATTTAATGATTTAGCAGAAGAACGTGAAGAAAATATAACATAAACTACACAATCCTTACACATATAAGCACACCGTAACGGTACTTGGCAGAACTGCTTGGGAATGTGCAGTTAATTTTTCATGTGTAGTATTAGCTGCCCTCTCCTGTTGATCTCCTGTAACTTGGAGATCTCAAATGTACTTAAATGGCAGAATGTTCCAGTGAAAAGTTCCTCCTTCTCACAAGGCTTATGCTACTCAATCTAATCAAGTTAAATTGATAGGAAATCAGGCCTCAGGGTTAAGGGGGTTTTTATTCTGTTACAAACAGCTTATTCCTTATATTCCATCCATTGTGTAATAGACAGTAGCAACTTTTAAGCTCTTTTTAAAATTTTGGCGAGATTACACTAAGTGACACCCAATACTGAGCAGCTCCTATTGCTGTCCTCTGACTTAATTCTGCATTAAGAGAAGATTCTTATATATTTATTCTCATTTTCATACAGAAAAAAATATTTAATACTCCTGGTCTATTTATACATTAAACATGCTATAAACTTACTTATCTTCATGGGTGAAAATCCGTGGCAATGCACATGTTGTCTTTGCTAGATGAGGCTGAAAATAGAGCTGAATTTTCTGAAACATGTCTTGATCATTCATCCATGCTGTGATTTCACAGTGTCAAGTTCATGGTTCCACAACAGACCTTTGGGAACATACTTAGAAACAGAGAGTCATAGAATAGTTTGGATTGGAAGGGACCTCCGAAGATCATCTAGTCCAATCCCCCTGCAATGAGCAGGGACATCTTCAACTAGATCAGGTTTCTCAAAGCCCTGTCCAGCCTGACCTTGAATGTTTCCAGGGATGGGGCTTCTACCACTTCTCTGGGCAACCTGTTCCAGTGTTTCACCACTCTCATTATAAAAAATTTCTTCCTTACATCTGGTGTAAATCTACCCTCTTTTAGTTTAAGACCATGACCCCTTGTCCTATTGCTACAGACGCTGCTAAAAAGTTTGTCCCCATCTTTCCTATAGGCCCCCTTCAAGTATTGAACAGCTGTAATAAGGTCTCCCTGGATCATTCTCTTCTCCAGGCTGAACAACCCCAACTCTTTCAGCCTTTCCTCATAGGAGAGGTGTTTCATCCCTCTGATCATTTTTGTGGCCCTCCTTTGGACCCACTCAAACAGGTCCGTATCTTTTCTGTACTGAGGACTCCAGACCTGGACTTTTCATGACCATTCCCCAGCCTCTTAGTATCTTCACTGGATTTGACAAAATTGTTTCTCCTGATAGTGTAATTTAAAAGGAGTGCAAATAAGGACAGGAAGCCATGCTCAAGATCTTCACAGCTGTACAAATCCATCAAATTCATCAGAGGCATTTTTTATTCCTGAGCTATAGGTGTCATTAAGGAGATCAGTACTTTACTTGCATGTGTGTCCGCCTGTGAGGAGAGAGATCAAAATCTGTATGGTAATTCAATTCCTTGCTAACAAGATTGTAAATTTGTTGTGGAAAGGTTGTCATAGTATTTTATTATATTACAGAGTCAAGGGAATTTGTTTCAGTGTTGGGCACTGTCATACTTCTGATACCCTATTCAGAAAATGTAGAACCTTATAGACCCTTTTCCTAAGAACAGAACCTCAGCTTCATTGAGGGCAGATAAATGTAACTGTAGACGATCTTAGCTGAAAGATGGTGAAAATGATGATCATGTAATCATGTAGGCAGTAGAGTCATACTTTCCTACTTTAGTCTCTATGAGGGAGGTCAACTTAACTCAGGCCTTATACACTTACATTGTTCAGGTGCAAAGTGTGCCTGTAAGGTATGGTCCTTGAACTTGTGGAGTCCCATGATCTCTTTAAATATGCCCGCACTCCTTCTCTGTATATGACTTCACGCTGTTTTTCACCTCTTCCCATGTTCTTTGAAAGCAGATACCTGTACCAGCAGTACCTTTGCTTTCTGCCAGGACTCCGTTTTGTGCTTTCTCACTATAAAGCTCACTTTACAATCTATGGGGAAATCCTGCTGTGTAAAAAAAATGTACCTTTTCCTGTATGGTTCTACTGTTCGAGGATGGTGAATGAATAGGGCCTTCCTGGGACAGGGAGGGTAAGCCCCACCTGATGTCAATCCTACCTCACCTGTTTCAGGAGCCCATCCTGCCTAGGAAGCCACCAGCCTATCCCCCTGTTCTGAAGGGAGACTGGGTCATTCCTGACCTGCTGTTGGAGAGTCCAAAGTCCTGCTGGCATCTGCACTGGGGATAAGCTGCTCCTGAAGGGAGGAACTCTGAGACATTTCCAGACTTGTGGTGTTGCTTTGTTTAAGGATCTTCCTTTCAAGCCTATGGGTGAAAAGGGCTCTACATAGGTGGTTAGGAAAGGGGTGATTAGAAGGTTACAAAAATACAAAAACACCATTGGGGTTATACAAGAAATTGCATTCATGGCAAAGTTGTTGAAGACATCTCAGGCTGCCTAGTAAAAAAGACCTGAATCTACTGGTCCTGCAACTGTTTGCCCAAAGAAGGAGGGAGGGGAAGCATTTACACTTGCAGAAGCTGGAGTCAGCCAAGGCATCAAGGTGGGGGGCGGTGGGTGAATGTGGTGTCCTTCAGTGTCAGTTATGTGCAGCCCAGACCACAATCTGTATTTGAATAGAATATACCAAACCTTTTGATCCCAGATGCTTCAAGTGTCCAATTAATTTAATCTCCCTCACCTTCCCAAGCGTCATGGGCCAAGATTTCTTTCTCTACTTGGACGTCTCTGAGAGAAGAAGGGAGCAGCCGGACATGGCTGGCAATGGTGACTGCTTCAAGTCATTACACCCTCCCAGCTCCAGGCTGCTAGAGCCAGAATAAAGCTGCTTCAGACCACGGGCCGTGCCTGAGCCATGCATCACTTAGGACTTGATAGCTTAATATATTTTCTTATAAAGAGGGCTCATGTGGTCAGTTGCTCTGAACTGACAGTTGCAGTCTTGAGGCTTAAAATTAATGTCCTTTTTGTTTTGCTTTTTGGTTTAAGTTTGCATTGCTTTGCTTTTGTATTGCAGCTGGCCCCAGCAGTGTCTTGGGAGATGACTTCATACTACAGCATAGAGACTGGACTGGTAGCAAGCATGGGTGGGGTGCACTGGAGTCTCCCAAGGCCTCAGGGGCTTTCCAACTAACAGAGAAGATGCCATAGGAACAAAAGCATTGCCACATTCGGGCAGCTGGGGTGGGCAGTAGTGAAAACTGAAGGGTCACAAAAACTGCAATAGTATGTAGCTTGCTTTGGCAGTGATCAGTTGAGGGTGAGATGGTCTCAGACTGCTCAGTAATGAAGTAGGCAGAGGTAAATGGGAGTAGATATATGAGGATTTGTGATCTCCTGGATTATCTTTGAAGGGAGATTTCAGCCAGTTTGCTTTCAAGCATGTTCATAATGCCAGTGGCAACAGGATTTGTTGCCAGGATTTCTTGCCCAGTTCTCTTCCTTCCCTCCCACCTTGGGCACTGCTTTTCTCTTACCAACGTACATGGTGAGCAATCCATGGCACTGTGCCTGATTTGGAGGGGCTGCCAGTGCTAGGTTCAAGTGTCTGCTTATTCTTGAGCTGAAGTTATAGTATAGGCCCATTATTAAATATTAATAGGCTTGCATAGGAATCTCTTCAGCCATCTTTTTAACTTAAATATAAAATATATCATGGCCTTAGACACTGATACGTGCATCTTTTTTTTTTTTCTTTTCTTTTTCTTTTCCAAAATTACTATTAAATTATTTACACTGTCATGCTGTGCTAAAAAGCAGCACCCAGATAATGAGAAGGTTTAAAATAATAAATGTCAAAAAAGACACCTATTTTTTTTATAACTACAGTAATTTTCACACTTTTACTGCAGGGAAACAAAGAACATAGCAGTATACCTGTGGAACATTTCACTGATGTTTGTAATGTTGCAGTGCAGCAGCTGCACAGACTTCATTGCTGGCATACTTTCAAATGTCTGATCGTAAAATAATATGTTGCAGCTGGCATAAACTTGTAGTTTTCAAAGTGGAAAATTGAGTAAAAGGATGTCAGCCAGGTGCATTAATGATTAAATCTATGGGGAACTGTGAGACTGTGTCTATCACATCATTTTTCATACCAAAAGAAAATGAATGGTAACACTTATGCTAATGTATTAAGTTATTTAAAAATAAACATTAACTTCCATGTTAAATTTTTCACAAATTTGAAAGCCTCCTAATGAGATTAGAAACACATGTAATTTTAACATGGGGTGCCTACACAATCAGGACTACCTGGCTGTGCCTGTAGACATGACTTCAATTTAAATACATTTAATCAGTGGTACTGTGATCTGAAAGGACAGACACTGGGTGGGTTTTTTTGTTAAAATGTTACCGACAAAGTATTTTTATAATTGATTTTTTTTTTTTGTTTTCATAGTTTAACAGCAAAATGATCCATAAAGGAGAGAACATCTATGAAATTTAAATCACATAGAAAAAGATTTGCATTAGACCTAATTAATTTAAAAAGGAAAATGATAGGTCATGTTTATCTGGTTTTAGTTAACATTCAATAAAAAAGGATATAGGTGATTCTTTTGCGTAATATAAGTTTGGAAAATGTTTAAGTGAAGGAACTGCAGCTCAACTTGTGCTTTTAACAAAATAGCGAATAGGATTCCAACAAATTTGTACTTGATTTAACACTATTTTTCAAGAAAAGAACACGCTTATTGAAGCTTCAGAGTTAATAATTTATTTTTCTACCAATGTCTCTTTGTAGAGATATATTGATAAAGGAAACAGAACATATACATGGACTGCTGTGAATGGCACTGATTACAGGTAATTCATTTCTATTTTCTGACTTCTTTTGTGTAGTTAAATATTCTTTTTGTTTATTTTCATTAATATTTTAGCATTACATTTTCTATACTAGCTGAGTTAGAACTAGATGGTCTTGTGTCCAGGCCTGTAGAATTTGCTGGGTTCCTTTACAGCTCAGAACTGTTGCTCTGTCTAAGGACCAGAACCTCAGTCTTTCATCCAAGTGTTCAGATATATCACTAGGGTATTTCAGTATGCAGGAAAAATGGGTTTTTATGATAGATGCTAAGAATCTTACTTTTCCTCCTACTTTCGTTACCACACTATACTTTGATTCTTAATTGGACACTTTCTCTTAGTAATTTCCTTATTTCATCTTTTCTTTGCATTGTGTCCATGTTCTTGTTTTAATATGCTTATTAAAAATGAAGTTGCTGTACTTTGGTCTAAATAAAAAATGTGGCATGTTTTGTGCAAACCATTTTCAGTCATGGTCATTGCTTATATCATGACTTTGCTAATCTTAGGGGCAGGAACAATGCTGCTGATTATCTCCAAAATCTATTTCTGACAAATTTTAACTAATTAATGCTGATACTGCTTTGTATACAAAAATCAAATGGTGAATCATATGGAAATTATATGGAACAAATGAAGTAATAGGTAAAAACACATCCCCCTGTGAATGCAACTTTGGTGTGTGTATTACTTCAAATCAATTTAAGCACACAGCTCTGTAATGTTAGAAGGAATGTAGATACTTGACATTATCCAAAGCAAGTTAGGATTTGCTAAGTCCCAGAAAGGTTAAACTACTGTAGTTGAAAACTACGTGGTACAAATATTATCAATTTTTTACCAAAACAATATTATTTCTGTGATGAAATATTATTTAGCCAAGTTGGTTCCATTTTCTGTTATGTTCTGCCCAGGTGTACAGCCAATGAGAGTGCAAACATAAATTTGTATACAAAACAAAACAAATAACTTTTAACAAGTGGATGTAAATGTAGAACTTTATCTTTTGTTCAGCATCCCATTTTTCTGTTGAACTGCCTCTATCTCTGTATTCTGTAAGAATTTTTTTTATTTTTTTTTTTTATCAGACTATGTCATTCAGCAATCAGTAAAGAAATACATTTGATTTATGCGACTTCTTAATTCTTACTGAGCTCCCTGGCATGAGATACAGCAATAAATCCATGGAGTCACATTGCAGAAAACCTATTAAACATAAAATTATAGATTTTAATTAGCAATTTCTGCTAGCAGTAACTGTTAATAACAGGTAAACTGCTACTGATTTCCCTAGAGGAGAGTTAGTAGAAGGCTGTCACAAAATGTTCAGCAACCTCACTTACATTCTGTTTAAATGGCAAATGAATCATTAAAGGTCATCTCATTTATGTCTCAATTGTATAATTTTTTTAATGTTAATTTCTGCTGCTATCCATTAAAAAGTATTGCAGTTCCACAGTCATGAAATCCAAGTGCAAATATTAAGGATGTGATGTGGGAGTTGATGATACCTCTTTAATGATTGATCGTTCCTCCTGTCCTTTACATGCCTCTTTAGAACTCAGCTATTCTACACATGCATTAAACTTAGTTGGAAAAAGAAGCTGTATATTTTTTGAACAAAAATAAGTATAATCTAAAAGAAAATACATTGTAAATGCTTTGCAGATCTTAAAATGTGATTACACAATGTTGTTCAAAGGTTCTTAGTGGTGACTGCAGGATTCAAGAAAATACTTTGCATCTTGAACGTAATGTGAATTCAAGTGTTGCCAGCCACATTTCCTAATGGATACTGGTACTTGTTTGATTAGTAAAAGGAGAGTCTGTCATTATATGATGTATACAAATAAGTGCAGTACTACATGCTATTTTTTACAGTCACTGATCCTTTTGACATGTGTTACATTGGGAAGCTAAATGTGTTAGAGGGAGATACAAGCAATCGTGTATTTTATTATTTACAATTATTTTGAAATTCCTTGCTTATCTGTTAAAAAGTGCATTTATGCTTAAATGTGTAAATAAGAATGAAAATAAACACAGGGAACTGCAAGACTGGCATGAACCTACTTGTGTCTATTACAAAATGTGAGGTCTGTTACTATATGACTATCTCGTCTCATGGTGATTCAAAATTGTTAATTGCTTTCAAAACACATAGAGGCTGAAACTGGAAAACTGCTGCAAATAACTTAATTGCTTTACTTGTCTCATTTCTATTGCAGTTTGGCATTGGTATTACCATCATACAGCTTTTATTATATTAAAGCCAAAATAGAAGAATCAATAACTCAAGCCAAATGTAAGTACTATGAATCTTCCCTGGTTTTATGTAGTATTGTGAAGTCTCAGATTCATTTAAAAAAGCAATATTTAAAATTCATAAATTTAGTTGAATTCCCCGATGTTGGATGTTATCATGATGTACCCAAAATCTGCAGCAATGATTCTAACCCATTGTAACATCCAAGGAACAAGAAATATTCTATAAAGATAGAATATGTGCAGGTACCCCAGTTCCACTGACAATCCCTTCCCCCTTGCCCTGTGCCTATAGAATCATTGCTTTGTGTATCCTCTGTTGCTGTCATTTTAAGGGTCTGGATAATATTTTTTTTTTTTAATTGTGTTAGTTAATATCATAAAATACACTATAGTAGTAGTAAAGTTTTTTTTTTTTTGTTATTTTTACAGTAGTTATAGTATCATATTTAGCAAATAACAACTATTGCCTGTAGAAACAGATGAATGTGAAAGGACTGTTTGATTTGGCTTGCAGCTAGGTTTTTATTTTGCACTTTACAAATAGTTTTAGTGGATGTTTGTAATGTATTTTTGGATTAGACTAATTTCAAGCCATTTACAGATTCTGGAGAGATAATTGGAAATGATACTTGTGAGTAATCAAAAGCTTTTTGTTTATTAGGTGTAGCTTAACTGTGATCTAGATAGCAGACAAAACAGAACCCATCACATCCTTTTAACTTTATCCAAATGTTATGATAAACTTGAACAAATGCAGTTAAATAGAAAGTTAGAAAAGCACTATGAATCTCTCTGACAGGCATAGATACTGTTAGTTTGGAGAAAACTTGGTTAGCACTAAAACACTGTCTGCTACCATTGCCTTCTGCATATGAAGTAGAATATGGCAGGTTTTTAATAATCAGTGATTTATTTTGTAATTTTGTCAAATAGTAAGTAGCTTAAAATTACAGTTTTAGTGAGTAAATATGGTTCTCCTGGTGGATTAGATCATCTGGTTTTGCACTTATATCCATATAACCTGCAAAACAGACCCTTGAAATAGCCACAGTACTTGAGAAATACTTGAGAAGGACATATTCTTCAGTCTTCAAAGATGTTTGTCTCTTTTCCAGACTACAGCTGTATGTAAATTGAACCTTTGATCTATCTATGCACAATATTTTTATTCAAGGGGCTATTTGAATAAAATATTGGTTTGTGACCCCTTTTGCTTTACCCTGTTTTTTTCTGTTTCCCTGCTTTCTCTTTCTGATGGATAGTGACAATCAAAAAGGGCAAGTATATTCTTGTTGCTCAATTCCTTCTGTTTACTGCAGTTGATATTTTTCACTTATATTTCTACTCCTACTGGATCTTCTCCTCTGTATTCCTCACCTCAGGATTTTTCCCATGATCATTGAGTATCATAGCAATAGAAAGGAGACAAAAAACAAAACAAAAAAGATAATAAATGATTTTATGTTTTCATACACATTTCAATCTGTTGCTTATCTCTAATCCTTCTATGTCTGGTCCTATTAGTGTTCAGTGACACCAGCTTTTAAAACCATTATTTCCAGTAGCATAGAAAGTGATGCTTATATGGATGAATTTTTTAAACTTTATTGCAGAAAATACTAGAAACATTTTCCACCATATTCTAACAACTTGGTGCCCCAAATATTTCCTTGTATCAGACTGTAATTCTAATGAAAACATCTCATATGTTTTCATGTTGTCATGCTAATAAAATGTCTTCTCTACTAGTAAATTGTTAGACACATCATTGTTGCCAGGTGTATGTTGTGCATAATAATGAAGTTATTTCTTCCTATACTGTGAAATACTGAGAAGTATACAGTGTATTAGTAGGAAAGTGTCTCAAAATAAACATTTCTTTCTAAATTCATGGATGCATGCAAAAGCTATTCAAATATTTTTAGAAGAAAAATTATGGAAAAAAGCCCAGTTTACTTACTTGGTGTTTACTCTTCATCTTTGTAGATTCAGAAACAATGAAGTTTGATAATTTTGATGAAGCTGGCTATACATTTCTAGCACCAAGGTTGGTTAATTTCCTAGTAATAACTATTATTTCAGCAGAAAATAGGCATTTGATCAAATTAATGACATTCACAAAATACAGAGTTGACCAATAAAGTTTTGGTAAAAAATACTAAGTAAAATAACATTTATTAAATTCATGTTTTACAAGATCATTCTTTTCTTCTTGCTAGAGTGTAAATGGCATCTTCAGGCTCTGATTCCATTTTATATTAATCAGAGAGAGCTGTAAAATCTGACATGTCATCATTTATTGATGTTTTTAATGGAAATCTTATACACATCTCTTCATTTCTTGTGCTTGTGACTTTTAAAATTTTACAACTTTGTACCTTAGCTTCTTATTTGTAAAATAGATACCATAATAATTACCTTGAGATGTTTTCCAACTCGGGATAAAGTGTCTCAAAGCTCTCTGTTTCTTAAGGATGAATTAATTTTTTATTCATTGAGTCATTGAAAATTGATCAAGTAGATTAATTATTTCCCTGTTTTTTTATGTGAAATTGTGTTACCCTTGTCCTTGTAAATACATGTTTGTAAGGGAAACATGGTATGATAAGTAGTTCTTAAGAATTTAGTTCCTTTGAAAGATAGTTATGATAAATAAGAGAAATGCTGTACCATCAAGATCACTTAAGAATTGTTACTTTTCTTATTTATCTTATAATTTTCTGTATCCTTTTATATTTAGGCTGTTTTAGATTTAGTCATATGTAAATAATAGTCTTCTATCTTCAATTGTATTCTCAGCTTAACTGTTTAATTTAATTTTTATGAAGGATTGAAGTTACTGATAATCAATGGTACCAATTAGCAGTTTCCAGCAAGTCCCTAGTTGTTAGGCTGACCTACATGAACAAAGCCTATTTGATATAGTGAATGTTGCTATAGTAAGGCAAATTCTACCTGTAGTCTTTCAAGATCATGGTAAATCATAATAAGATAGCTTATTCATATGGAATACCCGAACAGACTTCTTTTGTTCATAAAATTAATTTAATATAAAAAGCTCATTTAAAAAGAGAGCTCCCTGCTTTACTGCTGAATACTCTCTAATTTTTATTAAAGTTGTTTAATGCCAATCACCATCTAATATTTACCGTCAAAATGCCCAGTGACTTTTATTATGCTTGCTTGTATTCAGTGAATTGCCCAATTATATATTAATTTTATTACATTATATAAAGAACAGTAATTAATATTCAGTGAATTGCCCAATTATATATTACTTTATTTTATTACATTATATAAAGAACAGTAATTACTGTTTGTCTGTTTTGCATATGTCAAAACAGTGTTTATATTCTTATGTGCTGTGTACCCTATTAAAATGGCCTTTAAAACGTCTCAGAAGATAGGACCTCATCCCATAATTCTGCCCTTCATTCAGCATGAAGTGACTGTTTTAAATGGCAGTTCATGTACTTTTCAGTACAGTTTAACCCAGGAGCAGTCTCAATTCACTGGGAATTTTCTTGTTTAGTTTACAGACTCTATGATCTCCTAATTTCATGGCCAACACTAGTCCTGAATGCTTTTTCTGGGAATCTATGCCCTATCTCATATATGGAGTTTTCTTATAATTCAGATTTAGGCAGGAACTTTCACTCTGTATTTCCTGTAGATGCCTGAAGTATTCAATATAGTCAACATTCAGTATTGACCATGGTAGTCAGCTGATGTACTAGTACCAGCCACCTTCACTGTATTTGCACAATCCTGCTTGGCCTTTAAAATTGCTGAGACACATTTGTCTGCTTTAGTAGGAAGGAAACAAAAAGGAAACAAATCTGACGAGAATGATTTTTGTTTTATTTTGTTGTTTATTTTTCAGAGAATACTGTAATGATGTAAAAAAAATAGAAAACAACACAGAATTTCTATTAAATTTCATTGAATTTATTGACAGAAATACTCCAAGCCATCCATCCTGTAAGTATTCTTCTCAAATCACTTAAATTTTTCCGTTAGGAGAATACTTAGGCATAAATGAGAAATGGTCGAAATGCCAGCTTTCATGCTTAAATCATGTGGTTTGGGTTTTTATCTTCACTAATTTCTTTTTAGTGGAAATGCATGTAGTGTTGGACTTTGCAACCCAAGGTAGACATTGCAAAATTACTTTGCAGTTTTCTGTGCTCATTTAAGAACATGTGCAGGGCATTATGCATCCTGGATTTTCCATGTTTCACTTCAGCATTATGTTCCAGCAGCAAACAACTACCCATTTGTTTTAATACACTCCAAATATTTTGAAGTTATACTTTTTTTCTACTGAGCATAGAAGCCAAATTAAGTCTCAAATAGACTTCAGAATCTTGTAATGAAATCTGTAGTGTGTCCTTACTTCTGTTGGTAATTCCTAGAACTTTCTCTTTCAAAGTGGTACTGAAAAAGGTGCTTGAGAAGCATTGACTTCAAACTATCTTTTCACAGATATTTAAAAATGACATATCCATCCAAGCTACTAATTCAAAATTAGTTTATTTCTCTGTACTCATTTTCAGATGGCAAATAGTTGGGGTTTGGTTTTTTTTTTTTTTTTGAGAGGCTTGGACTTAAATGATTTAAATATTTTTATATTGTAGTTGATTTATCTCCATTTTTGTAGCATGTAAGAGTAAGTATAACTACGAATTAAATGTCTCATTGCATCATCTGACATTACAGTGTTTGAATTAAAATATTCTTTAAAAATAGGTTAATTTCCAAATTTAAGATAGGGGATTTGCAAAGCTGATGCCTTTAGCCTTATTGCCTTGCTTATTCCTATGACACAATGATGCAATAGGATACAATGAAGGAAAAGTTTAAGTCATAGAATCATAGAATGGTTTGGGTTGGAAGGGACCTTAAAGATCATCTAGTTCTACCCCCCCTGCCATCAGCAGGGACACCTTCCACTAGACCAGGTTGCTCAAAGCCTCATCCAGCCTGGTCTTGAACACTTCCAGGGAGGGGGCATCCACAACTTCCTTAGGCAACACATTCTAGTGTCTCACCACCCTCACAGTCAAGAATTTCTTTCTAATATCTAATCTAAACCTGCCCTCTTCCAGTTTAAAGCAATTACCCTCGATCCTTTCACTACCTGCCCTTGTAAAAAGTCCCTCCGCTACCTTCCTGTAGCCCCTTCAGGTATTGGAAGGCAGCTATAAGGTCTCCCTGGAGCTTGCTTTTCTCCAGGCTAAAGAGCCCCAACTCTCTCAGCCTGCTCCTCATAGCAGAGGTGCTCCAGCCCTCCAATCATCCTCATGGCCTCCTCTGGACTCAATCCAGTAGGTCCATGTCCTTCTTACATTGGGGTGCCCAGAACTGGAGCAGTGTCAGTGTCAACAGTGTGTGTCAGAGCAATCTATTTAACAGTAAGTACTTGACATGATTTGAAGTTAGACAGTATGTCTAATAGAAATAGTGTAATTTTTGTGGCTGTAGCATCTTGACAACTCAGGGTTTCATTTTAGCTGTTTAATGAAACTCCATGTCATATAGTTTCTAATGAGTGTCTTAACTCTTTTGGTAGGTAATACTGATATGGTCACTAGAGTTTTGCTGGATGCAGGATTTACAAATGAACTTGCCCAGAATTATTGGAGTAAACTGTCTCTGTAAGTATTCTTTTTATTGACTGTGATTTTTTTGATGCATTTAGAAGTTTGATAATAAAATAATATATGTGTGTGTACATACAGATAGGTAGTTAATGTTTATAATTCACAATTATGCACTTAAATGAATCATGGAATCATAGACTGTTGTGAGCTGGAAGGGACCCACAAGGATCATCGAATCCAACTCTTGCCCTAGCATAGGACAATCCCAAGATTCAGACCATGTGTCTGAGGGAATTGTCCCAATGCTTCTGCAATAGCATCAGGCTTGGTGCCATGACCACCTCCCTGGGGAGCCTGTTCCAGTGCTCCGCCACCCTCTGGGTGAAGAACCTTTTCCTAATGGCCAACCTAAACCTCCCCGGCACGTCTTCCTGCTGTTTCCCCTGGTCCTGTCACTGGTCACCAGAGAGAAGAGATCAGCGCCTGCCCCTAAAGGTTGCCAAATGGCAACCCTTGACATAGGAACATGTGAGAATTTTAGTCAGTTTTAATCTTAAATCTTATTTTTTGTTTACAGTAATGGTGTTGTTGCACAATTTGTTGTTACGGATGGTGGAATTACTAGAGTGTTTCCAAAAAGGTAACAATTACTATAAAATAGTATAATATGATAATTTTGGACCCTGAAAGGGTGGAATGATAAATAATGGATTTATTGAATGAAAAACAAGTTCTCATACAGTCTAATCTGTACTGATAACTGAAATGAATGGAATGTCTTGGTTTTCTTTGATATTACCTTTATCACTGCTTGAAACTGAGCTGCAACATAATTTCCATAGTAGGTCCTTATAATCCAAGTTTCTAATCAGTGTAGAGTAGCAGTAAAAGCAGTGCCCTTGTAGTAGTAGTGGAGCCATGCTAATCCCTAATTACTCCTGAGCGCTCATTTGGTTGGCAGGTTGGCAGGCTGTGAACACTGTGAAGCAGTAGGTGATTTTTATTTTTTTTTTAGACTAATAGGAGCAGACCAAATGGTACAGGGACATCAAGAGAGAAAAATGCATCATTAACAAGGGACAGAAAGGAATGTGAAAGTGGTCATATAATCAAAGAAACACCCCCATCAGTGACTGGGAATAGTGAGGGCACCAGTATAGATATACTGGTAAATGGCAAATTTATCTATTTTCTTAGGTTATTTGGTGTTTTCCCAAAATGGGAGAGTGCCAGTGAATTTTACTCACAAAATCAGTTTCTTTTTTTTGTTTTGTTTTGGTATTATTAAGAATATAAAATCTTTTAGGATTATTTCTCAAGATGCAGCATATGTTATAATGGTTTGTCTATATTTTGTTGTATATATTTGTCTCAATATATATAAAAATTATAAGATATTATCTGTGTTGTTCCAATAATGCAATTTTCTTTTCTTTTTTCTTTTTTATTTTTTTTTTCCCCACAGATTTTTTTAATAATGACACCTGGTAGTTAACCAGTGAAACATTAAAATAAAAATCCCTGCAGCATAGCTTTAATGAGCCTCTAACTATCTTTCTTTTGATCACTATTTTTTTTTGTGATTAGGGCAGGAGAAGATTGGTTGGAAAATGCTGAAACTTATGAAGTCAGCTTCTATAAACGAAGTTTAGATAATGACAACTATATTTTCACAGCTCCATACTACAACAGTAAGTCATCACTGTTTTGAAATGTCAGAGCGAGCTAGTCCAATATAACTGTACTTGTGCAAGTTTCCCATACCAGTTGAGGTGACTTACTGACAAGTAACACAAGTGGGATACTTCATAAGGCAAAACATCTTGGGACGTCACCCATTATTAAGGAAAACTTAGCTACAAGGGTACTAAAGAAGGGACGCTCTAATTTGTCATCGACTTTGCTGGCCCTGTATGCTTAGATTTAGCAAAGCTGAAAACATGCAGAGTACTAGTGTTCATTTGAAACTGAAACACCATTTTACAGAGATGCTTTGGCAGAATTATTTTAAAAGGAAGTAAAAGAAAATTGCACTCAGGGACAATAACTACCTAAAAAAGCCTTATTTGAGCTGAGCTTTGAATGCTTCCTCAGCACTAAACCTAGCTTGAGGGAGCAGGTATAAGGGTCCAGAGTCCACAACTCTCTCCACTGCACCGTTGCTGAATTTAAACTTTGCTTTTGAATTCCATTTCAATTTACTGTTATTCACCAAAACCAGTTTGTCTGGTGATAAATAAAACCTATATCTGCACAATAGTAAGTGCTCGTAGCTGATGTGAGCAGCATTAGCCTCACTAAGCTCATCTAAAAGCAGATGCTACCACAAATGATATACTCCTCTCTTAAACATATGGGAACTTTTATTGCTTTTATTTCATACTTATTTATTGCATCTCTTCTCAATAAAATATTAACAAAGTAATTAACTAAATTCCCTGAAGCCTTTGTTGTTCCTCAAAGAGTTCCAGGGAATGTACTTTTAACTTTTTCATACTAAGCAGTGTTGAAAACAGGCTAAAGTCTGTCAGAGAAGTAATTGTTGGTTAGTGAGTGGTGTCAGTATACTTGGTATTGAAAAATACACAGACAACAGCAGGATAAAATCTTTGGCTCTGATCCTGGTTTTAACAGAGCTACTCACGTGTGTAAAGCTATTCATGGCTCTATTTGCAGAAAAAAAAAAGGCTACAGTAACTTTATGAAGCAGTGAAACTATGTACAAGAAGTGAATGAAAAAAAGAAAGAAAAGTATTCCTTAGTCATCCAGAAGTTGGTGCTCTGAGCTATTACAGGTGATCATGGTACAGCTGGGCCAGTGCTTTTGAATAAGGATTTTTTTTTTTTTTTTCCATCATTCTGGGTATTTGAATATCATTAATTTTCATTTCAGAGGAAAAGGCTTTTGTATCACTCTAACCTGGTTGTTTGTTTGTTTGTTTGTTTTTCTTTCCTATACTCTCAGAAAGTGGTGCCAATAGCTACGAGACAGGTATTATGGTAAGCAGGGCTGTGGAAATAACAATTAATGGGAAGCTTCTGAAACCAGCAGGTAAGATAGAGGGGTGCTGAAATTCTAAGTACGTTAGATATTTGATTGTTGCTTGAGAATCAATTAGAAATTTAATTGAGATCTCAAAGGGACTTCACTTTATATAGCATTCTTTTCTCTGAGACTGTTTTAATCTTGCTAGTGGAAATCATGCCAAAGATCTGGCTGTGTTTGAGTAAGAGTGCTTAATTTATTAGTCTCATGAAGGATGTTGGTGGTCAGACAACTGAACAAAAGTTATATTTTATCCTTTTCCAGTTTAATAATTTAGATGTTATTATAATTTTCCTTTTTTATTTTTTTTAGATTCTACAGTTATCTTTTCTTTTTTTTTCATTTTACTAAAAAAGACTTTCATGTATTTCTTGTTAGTTGTTGGAATAAAAATTGACGCAAACAGATGGATGGAAAATTTCACAAAAACCACAATCAAGAGCCTGGTAAGCAATTGACCAAGCCTTTTTTTGAACTTTATTTGCATTTCTCAAAGCTTCAGATGCAAATAGGTCTATTAGCTCTTTGTGCCAGAGTCACACTGATGTGTAGTTGCCAACTAGTTGTGGTATTTAAATCATCCAAATGCACAAAATAAATCTATGTTGAAACAGGCTGTATTTTGTACATCTTGCTTTCATAATTATAGAACATGGATAAATACAAAGAAAAAATGACGTATTCCAGCCAGTAGGTTCCCTATTAAGTTTGCGCTGTAACAATGACTGAAATCTGAAAAAGAATTGGTTAAAAAAATAAAGTTACTATTTTTATTTAATATGGAGAATGTCAAACAGTGAACAGTAAGGCTTTATATTGCAAACAACATCACAGCCTTTTAGCAGAATTTAGTGTAACAGGTGTTTAACCATTTCATTCCTTGCATCTGATACTTATGTGTAAATGGGAAGGAGGAAAGGCTAAAATGAAGGAAAAACTAAGGAATTAATAGTACATTAGGAAAGGAGAGACACAAAATAAAGACAGTTGTGGAACAATTGGAGGAGGCAATATTGCTTGGTTGGTTGTATATTAAGGGATTCAGTAACTGTGTCTGGCCATTGTAGATATTGGAACTGTAGTTCAATGGGTAGGCAAATGCTTTGCCTAGATGTCAGAGCAGCTAAGGACAAAAATACATAACTGAAAAAGAGAAAGAAAGAGGAATATCTCAATTAATTTGAGATTAATGACTGCAGCATTATCTGGTAGTTGTTTTGCTTGTGGCATAATGCAAGGAGACTGTTCAGTGTGTATGTATACATACGTTACAAGAAAAAGAGAAATACATGTTAGTAATCAAAACCATAAAAGCTAACTGGATGTGGTGAGCTTTCTTTATCACATAGGATTCCCATGCTTTGAGACTGGTGAAGCTTTTAATTGTCCAAAATTATACTTGGCAGCATCTTTTCTGGGTTTTCTTTCCATACCCCAAACACATGGAAATGCACATGTTCTTTCTGTTTTACTTTATACTCCCAACACTGACATCCTGACAAGTCCCCCAAATTATTTCTCTCTAATATATTGAGCATTCTCAAAAAAGGAGATGTATCAGAGACTTTGTGAAAGACAGTAGAACTTGTGCTGTTGACAGTTACTGAATACAGTTTGTTAACAGAGGTACTTGTGATAAACAGCACACACTCAAAATTAATTTTGGTTAACATGCAGATATTGAAAATCAAATCACTTCACATTGTCTTGATTGATTAATATCACTGTGAAATACAAGGGTTTAAAAACATTTTTGTGAAGATTATTGTACTTCTGTTTTTTTAGTGCAACAGTGAAATCTGTGGCTGTGAGAGAAACAGTATGGTAAGAATATGTTCAGTTTATTAATATTTGTCAGATTATTAAAATTCACTCATTCTAGATTTATCTAAAACAACTATTCTATCATTATTATTTGAGGGTTAATTTTACAGAAAACAGGATTTAGTAATTTGTGTCTTGAGAAAGAGGTGAAGATTAGGAGGAGAGGGTGTGAAAGAGGGTATAAAAGTCAGGTGAAGTAGTCATTGCAAGAATCATTGCAATAAGTCTGAGACTTAGAGAGAAGAAAAAAACAACAAAAAAAAGGGTAAGAACAATAGAGAATGATGTGAAGAAAAATGTGAGATAAATGTAATGTAAACTTTCAGAGCAAGAGGTGAATCCTGAGGAAAGAGAATAATTAAAAAAAAAAACCCAAACCAAAAACCCCCCCAAAAACCCAAACAAAACCAAACTAGAACAAAAGTACCTTAGAGAAGGGTAAACACAGACTGAAAGGCACCAGAATATATGATGTGCCCTTCAACAGTCATTAGTCCTCCTTTCCTGTTTCTAGCCCATTCAGGATTTGGAGATCCCATAACTCTTCTAGCACTCAGGAGAGCAGAGCTTCAGGGGCTATCACAGTATCAGGTTCTGCCATGTGCCTAAAAGCTTTCTCTTCTTATATCTGAGTTCTTTTGTGGAGCGTGAAGATCATTAAAGGCAGGAGTTACAGCAAAAAGGGCACTCTGGGAGGTTATCTATCTGGTCTCACTGCTATCTCTCCAATCTCTGACTGCAAGGATTACGTTACAAAGTGGGAAGCACAGGGAACCAGTGAGCTTCCCATTCCTGCACCTGACACCTGGAAGAAACCCACTACAGTCCTTGGCAAGTTAGAATAGGCATGACTAGGATGTTGAGAGTCTGCCTTTAAGACTTTTACCATTAAAAGCTGTAAATGGAAAAGGACTTTAAGCATGGCTGTAGCACACAAGAAGTTGTAGTCCCTTATTGTGAGCTGAGATTCAATTATAATCAGATTTAATAAGGATATAGCACTCTTAGAGCTAAGAAAGTATTGAGCAAATAAGAATTTACAAAACAACTTTTATGAAATTAAGCCACAAATAAGCCTTTGATCTGTACAAACTTTTAGAATACTGATAATGCTACTTATTATAGCTTAATATTGGCCCTTGGCTATGGGGTTGTGATTTAGCCTAAGCCACATAGATCTGAAGATAGTTCTGAAGTGTTGAATAAAAAATAGTTTCTTACAGAGTGTTCTCTTGACAAATCCTTTCTGCAAAACATATTTTACTTTCTTATAATAGCATGTGGACTGTGTTATCCTTGATGATGGCGGATTTCTTTTGATGTCAAATCGGGATGAATATACACAACAGGTATGTATATTTTTAAGGACAGAATACAAAACACAATAGGAAGAAGCTTTAAGAGAAAAAAAATAGCATTTCACTTTCAACTTACCCCAAGAATAACATTTCCAAATCACAAAAATGTTACTGTATCAGAGATTCTAGTTATTTTATTAGTCTTTTTTACAGTTTTATTTATGGTTCAAGATGCCATACTTCTACCAAGTTGCATTCTTTGTTCTCTGCCCTTAGGCTGGTAGGCTGCCAATAGATCTATGATGGTGAGGGCAAGGAGTATGGCATCCACACACCTTCTTTCTCATATTCCTCTTGCTCTTCCCCAAGCAGCGTGGTCTCATTGATAGTGCATTTAACAATTATTGTATAACTGGAGTTGTCCAACCAAGATTTTTGGATAGAAGTAGTCAGACAAAGAAATAAATACATAAGCAGCACAACTGGATGAGTTGTGTACAGGGAAAAATAGTGGGAGGGGTGGGGTGGGAAATTGGAATGGTTCATTTACTTTTTTTATGAGAAAAATACTTGTAAATACTTTAACTTATCTCTGTAAATTCTCCTCATCAGATTGGAAGATTCTTTGGTGAAATTGATCCTGGCTTGATGCGAAACCTGATTAACATGTCCCTATATGCCTTTAACAAGTCATATGACTATCAATCAGTCTGCGATCCCGAAGAAGAACCAAAGCAAGGAGCTGGCCTTCGTTCTGCTTATGTGGTCAGTAGCCCCTTGTGAGGTGACTGACATTCCCTTTAAAGTGTGCAGGTGTTTATACAAATAGCATAATCTCTCTTCTCTTTTCCCAGCCTACGATAACAGATATTTTGCATCTAGGATGGTGGGCTTCGGCAGCTGCCTGGTAAGTGCAAGTGTGTCAGAAATCTGTACATCCAAACCAGAATTATCCAGTGTCTCCTGGGCCCCAAAAATGCTCTGAACCCTTTGTTTCTGCAGTTTCTCAGGGTGAAACTTCTTAGCTATGTCTCCAAACTACTCAGAAAATTCAGTGTTCTGTCAACAGTTGAATTCAAAACTAGTCCTGCCAGGTTTTGTGTTTGTTGATTGTCTGTTCTGACTCTACAAAATCAGCTTCAGGAAGCAGAGTTGGGATTAATAGTCTGATTGGCAGGTGTGAAGGTTTGAATGAAATTATTACATTTAGCATTATTGATCACTTGGTTCCCTGTTTCAGAATCTATTTTTTCCCTTTTTCTAGCAAGAAGTCTTAGGATAATAAATGTTTGCTGTTCAGTGAATAATATTACAAAAAACAAATGAAGTTTCTCTATTATGAAATGTAAAGAAACCTTGCTTCAGACTGCAGGATAACCAATATGTTATCTGATGGCACAGTTCAGTTGAAAGTTCTCATGATAATTATTACTTGTTTCTTTGAAATGGAATGTAAAAAACACTACTGCACTGTTTCAAGGATGCAAATATATATAAAGCATTTTGCGTAATTCTATAGCCATGTGCCCTAGCATTTTCTACAGCTGAGGGGAAAAGTTGGTATATTTGAACTGTTGTGGAGTTTTGGGATTGACTTTGAGAAAGGCAGAATTGCACCAGTAATTAGGTTTATCTTTCGCGATCACAATACTGGACACATTTTAAAACTAAAGATCCATTTAGGAGCTTTCTTTTCTTTTGCTTTGGTTTGTGCATTATTAATAACAGCCACAGAAATAATTTTACCTATTTCAGAGCCATGTAGATACTCCTACCAGCTACTTACCCCAGGACCAAACGGGGATAAGTAATTGGGACTGGTGTGATACTTTTGCATTGGTGTGAATTGCATCCTTGGAGACTACCTATTCCTTTTTCTATAGTTTCATGATGTTTTGGTTTTGTGGGGTTTTTTTTTTTTAATAATTATCATCAAGATGGAATAAATTACCTACTTTATGAAGCTAAGATTTAAAATATATAGCAGCTGAACAAACATGTAGTAATTTTCTCACGGGTAAGCACTATGAAGATTGTATGTTGGTTTTTATTGTTGGTTACATTGTGTTAACAGCAACAGCTAAAATCTCAGTTTTCTTGGAGAACAGCAAACCTCAAAAACTGGAGATGGGCAATAATCCAGAAAAGAAACTTAAGCTCTTCTCAAACAGAGAAACTTTAGTTTATCGGTGTTCAAATCAGACACAGTGGTCTGGACTCAATTTAGACCTGAGGTTTATTTTGTGTAATGTTTAACTTGAAAGCACCACATGAAAGTACTTTCTGTGGACATGTTTTTAATGGAATCTAGGTCAGAAGCAGGCAGAGAAGGCCATTAAGCAAGCAGAGTGAAAAGGGCTGACCAAAAATGGATTCAGTGAGACACCTGGCAAAAGCAAATGCAGAGAAATAAGAGAAACCAGGTTATTAAAGCAAACTATAGTGTTTCAGGCAACAATGTGGGATAAAGGCATGAGTGATAACTTTCAAAATTTATATGGGATACATCAGCATTTAGTTAAGAGAGTACGTATCATTTCTCCTTCACGCTCTTTTTTAACTCAGAAGGTTTTACAGTTTTCCCAGGCTTCTTTTTTCGCTCATTTCCCTGTAAATGCTCATGAATCCTCACAAAGGATTGCTATTTTCTGTTAACAAATTGCATCACTGTTGAATGGCATTAGGTCTTTTCTCATCCGTGATGGCTGATGTGCTGTCCATTTGATGATTCAAGATGATGATTTACATCCACAAAGCTGTGGATGTAAATCCAGAGCTCCTTCAGGCAATGCCTCCACTGGAAAGGTGAGAGGCAGATTCAATTTCTTTACACGTGGATCATGCTGGATAAGGAGAAATAGAAAAAATCTTGGAAGTTGAATAAAGTTATACAGTCCTTTCTGTCTGATGAACAAGTGTTAATGCAGAATGAGATGAGGAGAGATCAGGTCATATTTGTAGGTAGAAGCAAACCTAAAAATGATGACAGGAAACTACAAATTAAGAAGGTTTACACATAAGCAAGGAGTCAAGGAATATAACTGTTGCAATTCCTGTTTTGACAGATTGATAGAGGAGAAGAGGGGCATGTATGTGGCAAGCTAGTACTTGCTTCAAGTAAATAAAATAGGAAAAATGTGATCATGAGTGTAAAAAAAAAAATAATTTCAAATGAATGGAGCTCTTTAAGCCGAAGTGTTTTGGCAGCATCCAGGAGGAAAATATATTCCTTACCTCAAGTGCAGGAATAGAGATTATTTTAAAAGTCAAATGCTACAGTAAAATTTTTTATAATATACTTGTAATATTCCAGTGTTCATCTCCTTCTCAGCAATTTAATGAACCTTAATCAGTGTAAGGTATCTAATTCAGCAGCATTTTCCCTGAGTGTGTTCAAAAGGAGTTCTTGTTGGTTTAAGCATCAGAGGAATGCCAACATGCCAAGAGAAGTATAAAAGGAGGACATGAACGGCATGATAACATTTCCATTATATGATTTAAGAGCACAAATCATAGCAAATCTTAACAGTAGAATAAACTATCAGTATGAAAGAAGACCTGAAAGCGTGGAAAGAAATCCAGAGTCAAACTGTAAAGTTTAAAGAAACACAGCTTTAATAACTGGCAAAAGCATAATTAGCCATGAAGATTAAGTCATTAATTACTCTTATTTGAGTAGTTTTTAAGGACCCAGTGAAGTACAAAGATGTCAAAAAGCCTTTAACAAATGTATATTGTCTTTCTGTGTTCAGGTCTATCTTACAGCAGCTGTTTTTGAGCTTGACTTTTCCACGTTTCCTTGAGGCAGGTAAGTCAAGAGAATGTTAGAGAGTCAACTTTAAGTGAAGTAGAAGGTAAGAATCTAGGCTGGGGGCCATATTTGGATTTCCCCATTGTGTCCATGACTTTAAAATGTCATTGTTTATATATTTATTTTCTTCTTTCTGTCAGCTGATATGGAAGATGATGATTTCGGTGCTGCCCTGCCTAAAACAAGCTGTATCACTGAGCAAACTCAGTATTTCTTTGAAAATGATGATAAATCTTTTGGTGGGATTGTAGACTGTATAAACTGCTCCAGGTAAATTTTCTTCAGTATAAATAATAGCTTTTGGATATTTATTTTACAAAAGCTAATAATGCTATCATAAGAACAAAAAATATATTTTGGATTAATTACACTGAACTTACATAAGGAAGACAGAGAAGTATATATGTGGTAAAATGATAAATTGCATTTTCTTTGTATTTGTTTAGAATTAATTTTAATTGTAAGAATTGAAGAATTATAGAAATATTTTTAGTCAGATTTTTGTTTTATAGTGTGTATATGCTCCATGAAAATTGCATTTCTATCTCTGTTACAGTTTGTTTTCTTTTAATTTATGACATTAACTTAAAGGCATTCTGCAATATTCAGAAGATTATTTTCTTTAATCTGGTTATGTGTTAGTATTTTTGATGGCCAAGAAAATTATGCAATTTATCTTCAAATTTAGTTTTTAGTTAATAGTGCTCACAATTTAAGAACTGTGGATCTTATTAAGCAAACCACGCTGTTTTGTTTTTTGATTAAAATAATTACTCTTCAGGTGCCATGTTCATATTCAAAATAATGGTTAATGCTGTGTAAAAAAAATTGGATATTTCAGAAACATAGCAACTTGGATCTAATTCTGTGTTTCATACAAAAACCTGTTGGGTTCAAAGTTTGCATGCATTAGGAGTTTCTGAAAATGTCTTAGAAATTAAAATTAACAGTCAGATTTCAAACTCCTTGAAGACAATATTTCAAACCTGAAAAGAAAGACAGAGAACACTGGAGAATGTTGAATTCAGCCAAAACACACAGATAATTTTTCCCACTTCCATACTTCTTTCTCCATGTTGCTAATATGTGTTTCTATGGTAGCTGGTTTTCAGAGAACTCGCTAAACTGGGATTTTTGTTTTGGTTTGTTTGTTTATTTGTTTGTTTGTTTGTTTTAGTAGGGGGGTTTTGGTTCAGATTTTGGTTGTGGGTTTTTTGATTGTTTTGTTGGTTTGGTTTTAATCTGGAAAATTTTCAGAAGTGTTCTTCAGTTCACTAAAAGATTGCAGAAATTATGATGTTACCATTGCAAAAATAGTGCCACAGTGTGCGAATGAAGTATGAAAGGATGATTTAAGCTGATTAAAACAACCAGATATGTAATCACAACATCAGTTATTTAATTAATACATATTTTATACTCTTATTGTACCAAATCAGTGGTACAAACTCATCATCTGTGAAATTTCAGAAATTGATAAATTCACACCTGAGTAATAAAACTCTGCTTATATAGAGTAGTAACCACTTGTATGAAAAGGCTTGCTTGTTATTTTATGTGTATGAAAATGTATTTAGAATCCACTAAAAGCAATTAACTTGTTAGATTGTCCTGGATTTACTTCTCTTTAGCAGGTTGTATATATTTCAGTAATGACTAAGAAATACTGAGGTGTTTTTTTTCTCTGCTTTTTTGAAGGTCTGACTGCCTTTCCAGTAAATTCAAATTGTACATGAAAATTATGATTGAAAAATCCAGAAATATTCTTACTTTTAGTATCTAAGGCATGGAGTGTAGTATCTATAACTTAAAAGTATAATGCTGCCTATTCAATTTATAAATTGAAAATGACCTTACTAACCTAAAAACCTTCTATGGAATTATGTGTACGTAAAAATACAACATATACACATCCAATACACAGGATACATACCCTAAACCCCTTTCTTACCCTTTTTGCAGGCAGATTTATGTGCTGGAATTTTCTTTGCTTGTTTTTGTGATTGGGGGTTTTTTCAGTGTTGTTAGGAGAATTGGTGCTGAACTGATTTTATTTCTCAGTACAGCTACTGTGGTAACAGTACAGAGCTAGCTATTAACTCAATTAAAGTCATTTTATGCTCTTTTCCATTTTTTCCACTAATAAGTCTAGTTGAAAGAGAGAACCATGGAAATGTTGAAAAGATTACAAAATTTTTATAAATGTTTCTTGCTGTTCGTTAATGGAAAAGACAAACAGTAGCAGGCAGACTGAATCAGTGAAGTTGGATTACTTTTATTCCAATACTGTGTGCCATTTTCAAATATGGATTTCTTTGCTTCATTTAAACATAGGTTTTTGTTGGCTTTTTTTCCAGACTCTATCATGCAGAAAAGATTTCAAACACCAATCTAGTATTCATTATTAGTGACAGCCAACTGCTGTGCCGCTCCTGTGACCCAAAACCACTGATGCAAGCGGAGAAGCCGGGTATCCTTTAAAATCATGTTATTTAGTAGTGTGGATTGATTTTTGGCTATGGTATACTGGAATATATTTGGAAAAAATGCCTGTTTATGTACCTATTAGTAGCATATTTACCACTGGAGTACTTGAAGCATCAGATATTTATGGATGATATCACAAATGGATGTAGTGCAAATGGAAGTAGAGAGCGAAGCTGCTATTTGTGATGACCTAAGCAGAAATGGGCTTACAGGAACTTATGATAATTAAGTTTCCAAAAGGCAGATGCAAAGTCTTGGATCCAGGATAGAATAACGACATGCAGCTGGACAGGCTGGGGACAGAGTGGCTAGAAACAGCTTTGCAGAAAAGGACTGGAGGGTCATGGTGGATGAGAAGTTGCACATCAGTTGACACTGTGCCTTGGAATAAGGAGGGCCAGTCACATCCTGGACTATGTTAACAGTAGTCAGCAGGTTGGGAGAATTGATCCATGCTGTCTCTTCAGCACTGGAGAGACCAAATCTGGAGTATGGGGCTCCCCAGTACCACACTGACATACTGGAGGAAGTCCAGTGAAGGGCCGCCAAGGTGGTTGGCATCTGGTGTGCAGGACAGGCAAGGGGAGCTTAAGAGTCCTGGTTTTCTTCAGCCTATAGAAAAGCCAAAGATATATTTGTCTAGAGAAATAACAAAAAAAAGGGAAACATCAAGATAAGAGTGTTTGGTCGTGAAAGGGTAGGATGCCGCACTGATGCGTGGAACACTGAGGTGAAGTGATGGAGGCACTTTAGTATGTGTTCAGTGTCAATGAGAACTACTTACTTCTTGTAGAAACTGCTTTAACTATCAAATGCTAGAGTTTATCCAGCTGCTAGCATATAATTTCTGAAGAGCTGGCTGCAGACATAGGTGGCATACATTCTGAGCAGAGTCCCTGCAACACACATGCTAAAATTGAAAGTATGTGAAAGAGTATTTTAATTTACAACCATTTTCATGCCAATCTCTATGCCTTTAGCCTGTCCACCCCAGTAGATACATACCTGTAGGTGATGGTGATGGAAATACATAAAACCAATATACACATATTCCAGGCCAGGAGAAATTCACCTCATTTTTTCTCTGCTCTATATGCTTAAGGATAGAATGCCAGAAATAGTAAATCAAATCACAATTTGTATTGTTATGACAGAATATGGAAAACAATTAGTAATACCTTTGTCCATGTCAGGAAGTTAGTTGAGACAGACTCTCCCATTCCTGAAAGAAAAGCAGATGGTAGAAGAGACAAATATGTTTCTTTGGCATAAGCAAAGCGTTCATTGCCACATTAATAAAATTCCATCTATGCTTGTGCTGAAAAGGAAGTTACATTGAGGTAGAAGCAATATCCATGTCATCACAGAACTATGTAAACACAGCCTAATACTCTAATTGGCTCCAGTCCATGACAGTTTGATTAACTGTTGCCACTGTCTGAATTTATAGACAGCACTCACTCTAGAAAATGAAGCACATTTGATGGGAAATTGGCACATTACTTGCATTTCCCTGTGGGGCCCAGACCTTCTAGAAAGCAGTAAATGACCTCAAGTGGCAGCCAGAGCAGCTGAGTGGGCTTACATTGACTAAATGAACTATTTTATTTTTGTTCCAACTATGCAGTCCTAAGCCATTCTCTCTTTTCTATAACTAAGGTACATTGTGAAATGCAGATGTAGCATAACAACACACAAGCAGACAGAATGACCTTTGGGTGCTATTCAGATGGTTATTATTAGACTCCGCCTCTTTCTGGCTGGTACAGACAGCTTTGCTTGTGCACATGGTCTTTTAGAATATTTCTGTGTTTTGATTTCCCTTTCAGCTGGGCCCCGTCAGAGGAAAGGGGAGGTGAGTCTGATAACATCTGAATGAAGACAGATGTAGATCTGTAGAACTAAATTCTCTTGCCTTCCCTTCCATTGGGCATCTCCACTTGTTACAATGAAGCTGCTGTAGCACTCCACAGAGTACATGAATAGAATTGCTTCAAGTATAAGTGAGAGCTGCTGAGTAAAGTTTTGGTGCTCAATTTGTTTAAAACACTCTAGCTTAGCTTTAATGTGTGTACTACCAACAGTAGGATTAAAAAAACTTAACATAATGAATGGTAATCTAAGCAGGTTTCAACAGAAGACGGTTTTGCAATTGACCATATCCGTGCCTTTCAAGTATGCTGCAATGACTCGAGTCCCTTGTTAGCCTGTGGCAAATGTGAAGTATGTTATTTACACTTAAATGTCAGCAATTTCAGATTTCAGAGAAGTAAGCTAAAGCGTTACCTCACGTTTGCAGTTAGCTAATTGATAGCATGTCACTGCTTCCATTTCTATCCTGCAGTTCTACTGTTAGTTTGGACAGTATTTTCTGTCTCCCTTCATCACTGAAATGCTAATGAGGTCTGATTAGGTTTCCTTTCATTTACTCTCGAAGCCTACGGTAAGATGATCTTGTCTATGATATTTGAGGTGATACATAATAAAACTAGTAGTTCTTATAGGCCTTCACTGCAGTTTTCATCCTGTATATAGCATTACTTTTCCAAACAGGCTTCCTCACTTTTACTGTGTATCTTCATTTTAGCAGAATAATCAAATGGTAACATATGCTATAACCAATCAACACCACTGAAAGTGTATTACTTTACGAAATATTTTGTGAAATATTTATACAATGGTAGTAAAAGCAATACATAAAATCTTAAAAAAACCCTCAACTCTTATTTTTATTTTATGTATAGTTCTGGAAGTACTGGTTCTAAAAGTAATGCAGGACATTTATTTTCTTGAAAAGGGTATTTAATTTTGATTTATCTGGAGGGTTGGATTGGTTTGATTTTCTTTAATTTAAACAAGGAGCTGTAACTACTGATGTTTATTTCAGTACTATCCAAATTAGCATAAAACTTCTCTTCTTCCACAAAAGTAAAAACAGAATGTTAATCTTGCTAATGTATGATGGATGAAAAACAGTCTTGCTCCTTAACCAAAGAAACAGATGAAGGGCCAAATCCTTGTGAAATGGTCAAACAACCTAGATACAGAAAGGGTCCTGATGTCTGTTTTGATGAAGCCAAACAGGTAAAATTGAATTTGTAAGACTTTAGGACTAACTTTAAAAACAATTGCAGAGCTGTTTTAGAAAGGCAGTGAAAAATACATGTAAATGTACCTTGTTTCCTGGTAACTTATCTATCACTAAACATACTGTTCACTCTAGACCATAGCCACTCTATTTCAAGTATCCCATAATTGACATAAAATTAACAGCTGCTTTCTTATCTGCCTTTCCTATAACCATTGCACTTTCACACATGATTCCCACTTAAAAAAAAAAAAAAAAGAAAAAGAAAAAATCAGTTATTATAAAACTGATGTTTTTTGTATAGTACTGTGAAATTCAGTTCTTATATGGCTTTCACAAACATGATAATCCTGTCTTAGAAGTAGTATTTTTATGTTAATGTCTCCAAATATTATTTAAGGTGTTGTTAAATTATGAAAAACATTATATCTGGTTTAGGATGTTGTTTCTTTTAAAAATTCTACAAATGTGTCTTGACCTTAGGTCACATTCTTAACAAGTATAGAAGTGCATTGCTTTGTTGAAATCAGCAAGACTATGCTGTTTAGTGGTAGTATTGTATACATTATAGTTTTGAAGGAGAAAAATTCTAACTGTGCCACATATATAAATTATTTTGAGTATACTTTCTTTGAAAAGAAGAAGTGAAGAATACTAATTTCTTACCTTCCAAAATACTGTATGAAAGCCAACATGTTGAATTCAAATTGTTCAGAATAAAGTCCAAGACAAAAAGTACTGAACAGGGAAGTGCTTGCCATTATGTAAAATAAATATTAAAAAAAATATATTTCTAATGCCTTATGCCATTTCTGCAAATGAAAAAATGTCCAAAATCAGTGTAGTCAATTGGCTATAACTGCTGTATACCATGTTTTGTTCCAGTATACTCTCTCTTTTCTTTAATGAGATGTCAGTAATGTTAAAAAAAGCGCAGACAGTTGGTATTCAATGCATTTTCCTAGCAACCAAATTTTATTTTAAAAAGGGAGTCTTCTTACTGGCCAACAAAGTTTAAAAAACATTGAAAAAACATCCAAAAAATTATTTGGCCATTGTAAATTTGGCCAAATCCTCCTGATATACAATTGTGTGTGAAAGTACAACTCTTGCTTACTAGCTTGATGTGCTAATCAGTGTGTAAGTCACGTGTTTTGTAACAGTGGATTGTTTTGATTAAGTTTATTTGCAAAATTTGCTGTGACTCTCTTGCTCTTGGGTGGATGCTTTCACATTAACTCTGCTAACTGCCAGCAATCTGCATGATATCTCATCTTGTATGTCTTTTTTTCTGTGTTTTCTTTCCTTTCCTCTACTTGCTACTTTGCCCGTTATAAATAGGATCAGCCTATATGCACAACGAGTCGTGCCTCTGCCATGACGTCCGCTCCTATCTGCATTTTTCTGCAAGTTTTCATGTGGTGTGGATGGTCAGTTACTTTCTCTAATTTTTTGTTTTGTTCTTGGCTTAAAAAATTAGCAGACTTTTTTACTTACTAAGCATACAAAAGAAAACAGAATGAAGTGAGTCCCAAATGAAACAATCTGGAGCAAATTACTATTGCACTATTAAGGGAAATTAAATATGAAAAAGCCCTGTCTGGAGCCTTATAAATCACAGTCATAGAACACAAGGGCCTCTCCCATAGCAAATACAAAGACACGGGAACCTGTTGGGTTTATATGGGCGGCTCTTTGAGGTTGCACATGTACCAGCTGAGTCAGTGTCGTTCCCTTCAAAATGTTCTTCCCTTGTCTCGGAAAATGAAACAAGAGCAGAAAGTTTTCTGCACGGAGTCAAACAAAGGTACAAAGTAATTAGAACAGACTATAATAACTGTGAAAGTGAAGCTGTACGTAGGGATAGCAAGTATGAGTGCTCTGTGTAAGAGTAAGTGTTTCTGTTGAGAAGAGTAAGGAGTTTTCACTGCATTCAAATTAAAGCAAATGTTAATGATGGAAGGTAATACTGCACATCAATTTGGTTAAACTATGAATTCAGTAAAATCACATTTTTACTTTTTAAGTTTTTGCAACCTAAACATATTCATTACCTAATTTCAGCAGAAGTGTTTTTTTTCTTCTAGTGCAATGTATGGGTACATGAAGTCCTGCATGTTGACCTAGTGCAGACTCTGGGGTTCATAACAAGCGCTTTGACATTTTAGACTGTGTTGCATTTAATGGTGTGAGAGTGTGCACTGCTGTGCTAGTGACATCTGTGCAAGAGAACTGCTGATCTAAAGAGAATAAAATTCAAGACCTTGTATACTGGAGGGGTTTCTGCTCCATATTATTACTCAGAAAACCACTAGAGGGAGATACTAACATGTCTATCAAAGTCAAGCCAACAGAAAGGCAGAAATGGAAACTCGGTGGTCATTTTTCAGAGTTCATGTAGTAAAATATTGAAAATTGTATCAATTTAGTACAGTGATTTTCTCAATAATTTATATCCTCTTTATACTTGCAGGAAATTTGAATTTATATCACTCAACATCAGGGAAAAAAAAGCATAAAGTTCTGTTTAACAGCAGTATTTGAGTAATTTTGAAGTTTCCTATCCTGTATTTAAAAGACCTGATTTCTAGTAAACTTAGGAACTTGCACAGACTTGGCCGAAGGTTGTTAGGAAGGGTGAAAGTCCCTCCCTCTAAGCCAGTGGTATTTCGCATTAAAATCTAGAAGATTAACATCTCATGTTCTTCTTACTCATGAATTTGCTCTTCAAGTAACCTGATTTTAATTAAAAAGCTACTGTCCAATGTACATAAAGCAGCAAAGACTCACCTTGAGCTGAATACTTTATGTCCAAAATGGTCTTTCTGCTCAAGAAGGCAAACCAAAATACTGGGAAACCCAGGAAATATCATTTTAGCTGATAGACTTTTGGCAGCAGAAAGTTATAAAGGTAGTTCTGTTCATCTATCCTTTTTTTAATAACTTTGTGATTTTGGAAATGGGCTGTCAGTGGACATTATTCTGTATGGTTTTATTAAAATCACTGAAGCCAACACAGATATAAACCAGCTGATCAGGTTCAATAATGGCAGCTGGATTTTTTTTTTTTTCATCTAAGATAACAAAATGGTCTTTATCACCCCCTTGAATAGCTTGCTCTTACTCTGTACATGCACACTGTTTTTCTTTGCTATGACTAAGAATAAAAAGAACTCCGCTACAAGTTTTTAGCCCCTTCTGGGAATGTCTTATTTCTGTCAGCTCCCAAGGATGTCAGTGGGAGCTTTGAGGCTGATTAGCAGCCCAGACAACTGTGTACTTCTTGATGGGATTGGCTGTACCCCTGCCTATGTGTGGGTAGCTATACACTTTTGACAGCTTTGTGTGGCAGTCCAGACAAAGAAGAGTAACACAAAATTTATGAAAGACCATTCATTGGAACTTGAAATGACGCTTGAGTAAAAGTGTTCCCCAGGCAATATGAAGTATTTAAAATATATACTTATAAAAGGTATAACTTTGGGGTAACTAATTGATATCAAAGGCCAGATCAGAAGCTCTGTTGCATTTGTTCTTTCATCCTTTTTACAGTCAGTGTAGCACAATGGGTTCTGATAAATGACTAAGGTTTCAAGACAGAGTTTTAGTACATTAAGTAGTTACAGTATACTTCTAAAGGAGTAACAAGTGTTTATAGACTTAGACATATATGTGTATATATATGTATATACATGTATTTATATTTCCACAGGGGTCTTTAAAATTTTGGACTGGCACTGCCTTGAAGGAAATGTTGACATATAGCAATGAATATGTGGGTTTGATACTTCACAATGAATATATGGTTTTATAAAAGAATTCATTTCTATTCTGCAAGTGCTGAATAATTTTGATAGTGTGTGATGTTGTAAAATAACCCTCTCTAGAGTTATCAGAGTTAGGCATGACATGAAGTAGATGACATTTGGATTTGACACTTCTCTACCTCAAGCACACAAGGAAATTTGACATGTAACTTATTAATGCAAGAAATTTCTGATACACCTCTGATGAAATGAAACTGCCTAACAAGGATTCTTTCCAATTTATTTTCCAATTCTTTCTCTTTTCAAAGAGAAATTATATACAGAATATTGTTTTGAAGACAACAGAGGACATCCCCAACTGATCTGTTGGTTATTCAGTTTTTCTGTGTGACTAATATAGTAGTGACTCCTGTAATGGGCTGGAAAATTGTAGTGACACTGCTTAAAAATACTTTGCTGTTTAATTGCACTGGCAGAGGTAAAAATAAGGTAAAGTCAAGATAAAATGATACTATGTAATTTTTTATAAGAAATTTTATAAGAAATAATAATAAAAAAAAATATTTACAGGAAATAGGTGAGAAGTTTTTTTAAAGCTCAGGAATCTTTAAAAAAACCCAAAACATTTTGAAGAACATTCAAAACTGACAGTTTTGCTCTGTCTGGTTGCAAATTAATGGTGGGATCCAACTTATTTCCATAAAACTTGGGTTTTTTTTAATTTATGTAAATCAGCATGTAATCAGGCTTTCTCCTTTTTTTTTTTTTTTTTTTTTGATATGTTTCTTGTAATGTTCACAACAGTTAGAGCACGTAAGAAAATTACAATGTGCAATGCTGGGAAGGAAAAAGTAATTTAGATAGGATTTACTGTACCTTCTTTGCCACTACTATTTTTGTCTTGGCTTAGGACACAAAAGAATAACTGATTCCAGAGAGAATACTTAGAAATTGTTCTTGGCAGAGTCGCTGGTTTAGCACTGTGAATTGGTTTACAGACCTCAGAAATTCAATGTCACTTTGATCAATATGATGTTAAAATCTTGCCAACCTTGAAATATATGTATGAACCTTGTATAATTTTGTCCAGTACAGTTTGACTTTGTCATTCATAATAAGATGCCTCTCCTGTATAAGGCTTCCAAGACATTCTCCACTGTTGTGAATTGTCAATCCTTCAAAAACTGTTCTGTGTAGTCTTAGGGAGTGAGAAAGAGATATTAAAATATTTTTTTTTAATCCAATAGGAATATTGCATAGTATAACTTTGGAACTAAAAAGCTGTGCCCATAAGTTGTGATGTAGTTTAAAAAAAAAAAAAAAAAAAATCTCAGAAAGCAAATAGAAATGGGCAAAAGAGTGGTGGGTTTTTTTCAAGTACATGTAGTGGTATGATTAATTTGTTGACAGAATTTACCTAATATTTGGTCAAATGCAGAGGTGACATGAAAGCTGAGTACTGTGTAATTCTATATTTGGAGGTCCATCTACTCTGGATCCATACTGGATGCCATTTTCAATATAATGACAATACTAAGCCCTTCAATTTACTTCTTACTTACTCTCCAGACATCTCTCCTCTGCCAGAAAGTTTTAAACCTTGTGCTTTACTTTAGACCATTACTTCAAAGATGACTCTTCTAAGTAATTTTAGTGCTAAGAATCTTAAATGCTAAGAGGTAGCACTGAGTACTGTTCATCGAATTAATATGAGAAAAAACCTTTACTGATAATTCTGCTTCTGATGGTACTCAATGTGAGGAAGAAGCAACAGTTATTTTTAGGTGCTTTGAACAGAAATAAAGCTGCATGTGAAGACACAATGCAGATGCAAAAAGTGACTGAGCTAAGCTAAATAAACCAGAAAGTTCAGTGCATCTTCAAATCTTAGCTTCCTACTCCAAATCTGGTGCAGCAGTGTTCACTTATGACTTATTTGTTGACCAGAAACCTTGGGAATTTTGAACTTGTCGAGTGCAATCAACTAAAACTAAAGCCTAAGTCAAAATTATAGAACTGAATTATAAAGTTTGTATGACAGAGACATGTCCGGAAATGGCTATTATTGATAAAGAACGGCAGGTAACGTGAGCTCTTTGCTCAGAGTGAAATTTCTGTTGGTGAATGCTATAGTTCCTAATGACATATTGAATCTATTTTGTCTGCTTCATTTGATTTATTCCAAACTGATTCTGATTCCTTTGACCTCTCTGACCTTTAAAGAATGCAATGTGTGTGATGGGAGTCTCTTTAAAGTGTTCATCTCTTAAAACTGACACAAAGAACTTGTTGAAGTCCTTTGCTATGCCCTGTAATCCCCGAGTTCCCTCTTTACACCTCTGTTATTAAGCAGTTACCCTAACTCCATATTTGTCTTCGTGCTTTTGATTTATTCAAAACTTTCTACTATAATTTTCACCATATTTGCAGAGAGGTCATAAAAAATTCTTTATCAGCCCTCCTAATTTCCTGTTTATATCTAATCTGCTGTTCTTATGTGCTTTCCTGTTCTTGGCCATTTCAGTAAACTTGATTTCTTAAATTCTGGCTTTTTCCCTATGACAGTGTACTTGATTTCCTTACTGATTCATGCAGGGTTTTTTCTTTGGGGTTTTGGTTTTGGTTTTGTGTTTTTTGGGGGGTGTGTGTGGGGGACTGGTGTTTTTTCATTTGTTTTGGACTTCGGTTTTCGGGAGAGAGGAGTGGGGGGATGTTTGGGTGGTTGTTCTCATTGTGGCATTCATTTTACCTGGATATCTAATGCGATATCTCTAAATATTCTTCTGGATCCTTGTGAGAGACTTGTTTTTTGAGATGCCTCTTCCAGGTTTTTTTTCCTGCTTTCTGTTTTTTGTTTGTTAAGGTTTGGGTTTTTTTCCGTTTTCTTGGTTTTGGGTTGTTTGGGGTTGTTTTGGGGTTTTTTTTAACTGCTTTTGATGATTTTCATGTTGTTCCCTTTCTTGAAATCAGTATCTTTTGGTTTGGATTTGTTTGGCCTGATCTCTCACACAACAATGCTAACTTGTATTGCTCAATCCTACTAGAGCTATACTACAACTATACAGAGCAGCTCTCTGCTAATAGTTTTGAAAAGAGCCTCATGCACCACTAAAGATTCAAAGACTGACTGTTCCAAAAGGCAGTCATTTATCATATCCAAAAATGTGATCTCTACATCTCTTTTTGATAAGGCATAGATCCAGTTTATATGTGGCTTCTATAATCTCACATAACATTTCATGACTGATATTGTCACTTTGATCAGGTGGTCAGCAGTGCAATCCTAGCATTACATTTTTATTATGAGATTCTGAAATTTCTTACCCATGGAGATTCTAACACACTTTCTTTTCCTGTAATACTTTTTGTATGTTATTACACTTTGTATTCTCCTTCAAACACCCTTTACTACATATCCTTTACTACCCTTCTGCTCTGGGTCCTACACTGCCATTCTTACAAAGTTGGTAGCCTCACGATGCTCTGTCCTACTAATTATTGTCCTTCCACCAGGTTTCTGATATGTCTGTTATTTTGGGATGATTTGTTGATGACTTGTCTTCATTCCTCCATCTTAATTTTATATTCCATTCATAGCATTGGTGTAGAAGCACTTGAAAGTTTTGCTTAAAGATATGCCAATAAATTGAAGGTGTTTTACTGACCCTTCCTTATTTATCCTGATTGTACATTTTATCCCTAACCCCTCTAGCCTTTTCTGAGGCACACTGAATATTAGTTACATATGTCTCAGTGATATGACAGTCTGAACTAGGAGCTGTTCCATACCCGTTGGCTTTCATTTGCTTTCTGTTCTAAAAGCTTTTTAATTTCTGTGCCAGCAGCCAGGCTCTGTAACTGTTAAGGTGCAGTCTGTCCTTCCCTGGACGTGTTCCTCTTGTTCAAGAAGTTTCCCCAGTTCCTAATGTACCCGAGTCCCTTCCTACCTACACCGTTGTCTTTTCCTTGGTGGCTTGGGATCTCCTGGAAAACAGAAAGTGCTTTTTTATACTATGGGTACAGAATACAGTGAAAACAAGAGGAAGATCAAACATTTTCATCCTTCAGAGCTACCCATGAATCTCAGACTTGGTGGACAGAGCAGTACAGGGGACGGCTGGAACATTATCCTGGTGTTTTAGGCAGCTACACATGGATTGTATCAGTCCTGACAAACAAGAAGGTGTAAAGATGTTACAGACTTCACAACAGGCATCAAATGTATTTCAGCCAGACTAATGAATAAGTCCATAATGTGAAAGATTTTACGCATTATAGGCAAAGTGGGACCAAATAACAGTGATTAATGGTAAAAGGGGGTGAGTAAAAAAGGTGTGATTGCTGTGTGACATAATGAATAGTTAGGTCCACTGATGCATGACAGAGAAGTGTAGCTCAGAGCGAGCCCTCAAACTGGAGAGTCTTCTCTACAGACTCCATCAAATGTCCAAAAGGCAATAGAAAATTTGGTTCTCATACTTGAATACAGCATCAGAGTCAGAGAAAGGATTTTCATTCTCTTTGATCCTATCTTCACCTGCAGAGCATATGCATTTTAATGTGTGATCATGTTTATGAAATGGACATGAACATATTCTGGTATTTGTTTTCTTATGTTGAAAAGTTATCTATTTTGCCATCTTTCCTTGCAATAAAGTGATACACAAAATCTCCAAATTTTAAGGAATATAGATGTAGTTTACTGGGGCTCCCAGTTATATTCCATCACATTTATTTTTTGATTGTGTAAGTAACCCATCTAGTTCATAAGTGGCTGCAGTAAGCCTTGTAAGTATTTAATCATCCCATGCTTATAGTTAATGTAATAATGCCACTCTTTGTACCAAAAATCAGATAAACTTCCAGGAATTATTTTGCTGTTATTTTATGCAAAACAAAGTATGTAAGACCAAAAAGGATGCCTTAAGGCTAGTTCAAAATGTTGAAGTCTAAAATGTAGATTACTTCTCAGGAAATTTAATTATAATTACTGCTAAATTATTTCTTCTTTTCTTGTCAACAGGAAGATTCGGCTGACTGCGGTGGTGTCTCTGGCCTGAGTCCATCACTGTGGTCTATGGTAGGAATTCAGTTGGTCCTGCTTTGGCTGTTATCTGGCAGCAGACACTGCCAGTTATGACCTTGCTAAACCAAAACCTGCATAACTCAATCAAGACCCGGCCAAAACGATAGCCTCAGTTTCATTTTAAAAAGGGTCAGCTATTCAGACAGCAGCAGAACAACAGTGCTCGTGTCTGGTTATCACTCATTGTGAGACTCATAAAGGCACCCACGGTGGCTGCATGTTGGAGTGTTGGATCCTTAAACGTGTGTGAATGCTGCATCATCTATGCCATCCAAACAAAATTCTGTGCTTCACTGGGGAATCTAAGATTATTTTTTGTTTGTTTGTTGTTGTAATATTGATGACTTCATGTAAAAGGGCTCCCCTGACAATAGCTTATGTATATGATTTTACTTTCTTTTAAGCTTTGGATATCTTGAAGATTTATATTCTTTTACATGAACATTTATTTAAAAAAAAAAAAAAAAAGGAAGAAAAAAGAAAACATTCTCCCTGATATACGTTACTAGCACCCTGATGACTGCTTTGAACATCAGTTTTGTCCAAACTAGTTGAGTAAAATGAAAATATTGGCAAGTCTTCATGAGAAGTTCAGCATGATTTAAATGCTTTATGATGGGTGGTTTATTCTTCCAAAATGAATCATGTAGCACGCTAAGTTTTGGTAGGTTGCTAAATCATTGGAAGGAAGGAAGGAAGAAAGGAAGGAAGGAAGGAAGGAGGAAATTTGTCGTTAGAACTATAAAGGTGCTTGAGAGTTTAACTAAAAAGTGATTCTCATCTTAAACTTAGTGTCATCTTCTGTCAGAAAAATGTTAATTTCATTGTAATATTCACCTCCTTTTCACAATGCAGTTATATATAAAGCTAGTCAAATCCTTCAAACGCTCAAAGAAAAATGCTTGTGAATAAAAAATGTCTGTGGTATTTGAACGTTGGTTTCCAAGGGTATTTTGCATGATGATGATGCTATGTTATTGTTTTTCAGTTTGTTTTCTTTGATGGTAGAGTATAACTCATTGAAAAGGTAACAGAGTGATTCTTTTATTGTGTGAGGAGCTGGACATTGAAATGTGTTGCAATCAAATTATATTAAATTATATTATGAAACAGAGCTCTGAATATACTGTGCAATGAAAAAAGCTGAGAAAATAGGGTAAATTTAGCTATTGTAACAAAAAAAGTTGAGTTGGATTTTTTACAGAATAGCAATCTCACATGAAAACGTGTGTACAGATATTTTAAGTATATAAAAATCAGATTTAACACATTTATTTTTGGAAGTATATGTTCTCTAAGGTTCATATCAGGTTCCTCCTTTGTTTCCTTCATATAAAAACACACATAATATCAAAAATCCTGCTGTTGCTATTTGTTATAGAAAATAGCATATTTAACAGCAAAAAGTCCTGGTTGCTGAGATTAGAAAAAAATCTAAACAAATGGGGAGCCTTGAATCTATACGTATGCACATTGATACTTGATTGTGAATAATAATCATTTTAGAAGTTGTTTTTATACAACCTCATTGATGATACAGATTGGTGCAGTAAATGACAATATTACAGTGTAGCATAGTGTGGATGCAAAATATGATTTGCGCTTTTTTTATAGTTTTCAGAACTAAACAGTATTGCAAGACAGCTAAGCCAATGAATGTGCAACTCTGCTGGTATTGTACAATTCTGCTAACAACTGCAATATGCAAATATTAACATGGCACAATACACTAGCTCTTAAAAAATAAGAAAATACAAAGCGTTGGTATGTATATGCTGGCAATTGATTGATATAATTTTGATCATGACAGAAGCTTGAAGAAATAATTGGGCATGCGTTAATATCCTATGAAGACTGAAGAAGCTACTCAAAGCCGTGGCATGGCTTAAAATATCAGATGTCTACTGTAGTTGTACACATGGCTGGTTTGTTGTTTTTCTCATGTCCCTTGGCTCCAGCTATGTATTTTCTCATGTTTGGGAATACAGTGAGTGAAAAAAATAAAACCTGACCTTTTACTCAGTGATCAGACTTAGCTTTTTAAAAAATATCTCTAGTAAAGTCATGGGGTTAGAAGTACAATTAACTGCATTGGATGACTTCAGTCCTGCTCAGGGAAGGTGAGCTAATTTTGATTATACGGGTGAAGATAATCTTGGAGCTCTTCCTTCCAGTCGTAGTACTGCACTTCACCTCATCACCAGTTACCACCTGATAATTTATTTGAGTCTTTCTAATGCTGAGACTGCATCCTGGATTTTTTCTTAATGTGGTCAATTGATATTTTATGGGAGGAACAAGTGTAGGATTGGGCCAATGCTTACTACACTCATAGCTTTTACTCTAAGATTGCTTAAAATACATATTAGTTTGCATTTTGCTCTTTTCATTTCTAGAAAGATTGTCAGTATATTAAGTAGCCTATAATTTTCAGTTAGCTTCCCAAAAGAAACTCTTCATGGAAAAGTTACATTGCTTAACATTTCAGAACACTTTCCTTATGCTGGTAGGCCATATTCTGAGTTACTTAATAAACATTGGGTCTGTAGGCAGAAAGGAAGATGGCACAAAGCTATGCTATCACAGAAAACAACCATGGCTTTTGCTCTCATGCCACTTCTCTTGGAGTGCCCAAATCTGGTTGTGGAATCTCTCTCCCTGGAGATATTCAAAAACCGTCTGGACAAAATCCTGGTTCACGTGCTCTAGTAGTCCCTACTTGAGCAGCGTGGTTGGACTAGATGACCTTCAGAGGTCCCTTCCAACCTCAACCATTCTGTGATTCTGTGAAATACAAAAGGACGGAGAAGCCCATGCCATGCAGATGCTTTAGCTTTCCTAGGTTAGCCAGAGAGGGAGATGTTCTTCGTTCCTCTCCTCTGCTCCTCTATACAACCTGAAGAAACATGTTTCTGTACAAACACTTAGCCTTCCAGTCATTATACTCATCTGATAAGGCAACTCAGGATCTGGCCCTCCCAGAAGGACTTAGTACGGTCCCCATAGAACTCAATACTTTAAATGGGAAAAAAAAAAAAAAAAATGAAATTTTGATTTCTTTTTACAGAAAGCAATATATATTTATTATATATAAGTGATAGTCAAGGTGGTTTTTTTGTTGTTGTTGGTTTTTTTTTTTTTTTTAATGCACTGCCTAGATAGCTGCAAATTACAAAACACGGACAGAAAATGTGATGTGAACTTAAGCTATCTCAAAATGTGAATACCAGTCTGTTAGAAATAAAGTCCATGAATAAATACATACTCTCATGCAGAAGAGTATCCTTATTCTCACATCATGCATAATAGTGATTTTCTCTTGTCTGTGAGAGAAGAAACTTGATCCTAGGCTTTAAATTGAGACATTTTCATATTACAATATGTTGTAAAAAGTTGGGGGTTTTTTTAAAGCCAGATAAAAAGCTATATTGATATTTGCTCAGATCCTTTAAATACACTAAGGGAACTGTTTCTGTTTACCCAGAAGTCATTCAGCCTATTGTATATCTGATAAATAACCACCATTACAGTTGTTGCAGCATGGCACTGTGCAAAATATGATCTGAGGACTTAACATGAAAGGTTTCTTTATAGTTTTTCATTTAAACAACCAGCATTACTGCCAAAACACTGATCGTGTTCCATATTTGTAACAGGTTTTTAACATGACATAGCAGGTTTGATTGACAAGATTTTTAGGTCCTGTACCGTTAGGACTTTAGTATGATCTTTTTCATGTTTCTAATGCTCGAAGCTTTACTGCTTAACTTGACAAAAAACAGTGTTGCTGCCATTTGTAAGTTTTCCTATAATATTCCTTTTACCAACTTAAAAACTGGCCTTACTGGGTTTAAATAGGCAGTATCCCTTTTAAGTGACCTTTGCAACCCAAGTGTTACTTGCTGTGGTTAAGATTTTTTTGGTATCACTGAAGAGATATTAAGACCTTTTGTTCCCATTAACACCTAAGCTCAGAAAATGTGCTTAATATGTCTCAATTTCAAAACACAACTTCAGTCCCACGGTTCTAAAAGTTCAGATACTAGTACACTGCTTATTAAGATGTATATTAATGCCAGCAAGGCACTGCAATGCACTCAGTTGTTTCTGGAATGTTGACTGAAGGTGAAATCTTAATAACTCCTTCCTTGGGATAAATTTTACCCTACTTTCATCAGACATCCAAGCCTTTAACATAGGCCAGATTTTTTTTTTTTTTCATACCACAATGTTAATATTGTTAATACTCATTGTACACTACTGTAAAAAGATTAAAACACTGAAAACAATTCAAGAGTTTTGAAAAGTCAGCCTCACCCTCTTCCCAGCTACTTTCATCTGTCCTGTTTATGGTTTAAAAGAAAAACATCATCTTGAAGAAATAACTTCACTGAGGCTAAAGGGATACTGTCTTGTTCAGATGCCATGAAACTGCGATTGTGATCTGACAAAGCTGTCTTCTTGTGTTGTATGGAATGTCTGGATCATGCTTTCTGAGATATTTTTATCGAAATGCTCAGTGTGTGTTTCTGCAAAAAAAGGCTTGATTGCTTTTACAAGGCAAGCGGGTCTTTCTCTCTTTTCTTGTGTTCTCTTGACACTTTTGTGGAACTTGACAAGCCTGAAAAAATATTTTTTTTGTAAAAATTTGTACAATAATGTTATTAAAAGTTTATAATCCTAGAACTGTTGCGTTAATTCTTGTGCAAAAACAGTATATTCAGAATAAAAGTTTATCATTTAAAATCAACAACTACTTTGATTGTTTACTCTGTATAATAAAAACATGTACATAAGAGCCTACATGATTTGCTATATAATACTTCTGAATTTGCTAAATATTTGCACCCGAGTGTCTGAAAGAGAGATTTTCCAATGTGGAGACAGTAACTTAACACACTTATTGAGGTTCAAAGGAAGATGTGCAGCAAACACTCATTTCTGCTTCATTTGTGTCTGTGAAAATTTCAAATAAGTGAAAAAAAAAAAAAAAAGTGTAACCAGCAGAAACTGAGAGTCTGTAAAGCACTTAGTAAAATAATACTCTGGAAAGCATATGAAGTAGCCCTGTTGTTCTGAAACAATTGCTTTTGGAAGGATTGTCATTTACTAACTTGTAAATAGTGATGAAGTCCAAGGGTTCATTCACATGGAGAAGCAGAATAAAATCTGATGGCCCAGAGGGGGGCTGCCCAAGTTGTTGCCTGACCTCTGACAAAGATTTCTGCACAATTTATGAATCAGCTTCTGTGCTGCTGCCGGTCTCAGCTAAGCATTAAATTAAAAGTGGATCTATGTACCTTAATAAACAGGCTTGAGTTGTTCAGGAGTTGCTTCACTGGGTTTTCAGACTGACTGGTGGCACTGGCAATCTCTGTCAGAACGGCAGGGTAGGTGGTTGCAAGTGGTAACTGCTTTAGAGGCCTGATTTTAGTCCTTGACTTTGTATGTGTCA